AATTAACATATAGTTACGGAGAGTAACCCTAATTCACTCACTATCTCATTTCCTTTTTTTAATATTTATTTATTCTTTTTTCCATCTTACAGGATTTTTGTTTTTTTAATATAATTTATTGTCAAATTAGCTTACATACAACACCCAGTGCTCATCCCAACAAGTGCCCTCTTCAGTGTCCATCACCCACTTTCTCCTCTCCCCCACCTCCCATCAACCCTCAACTTGTTCTCTGTATTTAAGAGTCTCTTATTTATTCGTTTAAAAAAGTGTTTTATTTATTTTTGAGAGAGAGAGAGAGAAAACGAGCGGAAGAGGGGCGGAGAGAGAGAGAGAGGGAGACACAGAATCCGCAAACGCAGCCTCCAGGCTCTCAGCTGTCAGCACAGAGCCGGATATGGGGCTTGAACTGTGTGTGAACCATGAGATCATGACCTGAGCCAGTCAGATGCTCAACCGACTCAGTCACACAGGTGCTCCCAAATGTATGTTTATTCTTGAGCGACAGAGACAGCGAGCGCGTGCGCAAGGGAGGGGCAAAGACAGAGAGGGAGACACAGAATCTGAAGCAGGCTCCAGGCTCTGAGCTGTCAGCTCAGAGCCCTTCGCGGGACTTGAACCCGTGAACTGTGAGATCATGACCTTAGTGAAGTGGGTCGCTTAACCGACTGAGCCGCCCAGACGCCCCTCATTTTCTTGTATAGCCTCCATTTCTCCTAATAGTTTTCCGACCGCCTCCTTATGTTAATATTTGTCTTGAGGAGGCAACGGGGGCCCGCAGAGGAGGGGGTGGCCTCACTTTACCAAGGGAAAGATGGGCGTTGGGGACCTGTGAACCGAGTGAGTAACTCGTTTTGGGATCGCACCTGGGGTCGGGAGCTAAGTAATCCTCGATCACCCCCAGGGGGTAGTCTGGACTCCTGTGACTGGCGGTGAGGCTGGCCCTAGGACTCCACTTCCCAGGAGGTGTTGGGGCACCGTGTGGAGACTGCGTCTGACGACGGGGTGGGACTCGCTAGCTGCCCGGATGTGGCGCTGAGCCCGCCCCGCCTGTCCACCCCGGTCGAGAATTGCCCTGGAGGCTCTGCCGGCGTCGGCGCGGGGAGGACGACCGCTTTGCCAGGTAATCTTTTTGGAGACCCTCCCCGCACCGGGCGGTACCCCTCACCCCCCTTTGCTTGAATCCCCCCATCCCCGGACGGTTGCCTTAGTCTGTGAGCCATTCCCTGGATGGAAGGCATGTGAGGGTGGGATGAGGTGTATACATGTTGTGGGGGAGACTGAGCCAGCTCTTCCTGTTTGGGAATCCTGTATGTGGGGCACCCCTCTGTCCCGGGCTCACCGGTCCATGTGAAGCCCCGGAACCAATTAGCCTTGGCGGAGAATGATGCTAGGGAAGTGCTGAGCGGGCTTGTATTGATGGGTCACTACCACTGCCGCTCTGGGTAAGTTTCCAGGTGCAGGACGGTCTTCCCCTGGCTACGGGTTGGGGGGTGTTCACATGGCTTCCTTCGGCCCCCAGTCCTGAAGCCTTCTTCGACTGGACTTGAACCAGAGAAGTCCGTCTTCGATGTGAAAAGGCTTCCCGGATTTAGTAGATAACTAAGTTGCAAAGAGTGGTAAATAAAAAGGGGGGGGGGGTCGTCTGCTGCTGAATTGTTTCGGTTACAAAAAGTTACAGAGTGATTTTATTTTTTTTTTAATTTTTTTAAAAATATTTTTATGTCTTTATTTTATTTTGAAAGACAAAGGCAGAGAACAAGCGGGGTAGGGGCAGAGAAAGAGGGAGACACAGAATCCGAAGCAGGCTCCAGGCTCAGAGCTGTCAGCACAGAGCCCGATGCGGGGCTTGAACTCACAGACCATGAGATCATGACCTGAGCCAAAGTCAGATGCTTAACCCACGGAGCCACCCAGGCGCCCCCAGAGTGATTTTAAGTACATTAGACTCAGACTTACGGGAAGGGTGAGACATGGAGGAGAATGTGCTGGAAACACTAATGCTTTGAGCTGCATTCTCCTCTTTGCTGCTATTGGGTCATTTATATTGTGTTTCCAACCTGGGAGAAAATGGACTCCTACACAGACTATGTGAAGAAGGATGCCTTGTCAGACGACGTGGGAAGATTGAGAAGAAACTGTAAGGCCACTTAACGGCGAATGACTAACTGGGAAGGGAACTTTCTGGGGGTGCTGATTTCTGCAGCTCCAGACCTCTCCCAGTTTTGGATCCTATAGGCATACCTAAAGGTCTCTGAGCTGCTCTGAGCAGCTACTTCACAGCGCTACTGGGAGGCTTAAATAAGATAATATGAAAGTATTTGGCACAATGCCTATAACAAGCTCTCAATGTTTAGTGTCCTTTTGCTTTCCCATAGCAACTTTGTTTTCCTCTGAGCCATGAATTACTTTGTATTATTGTTTGCCTTTTCACAGAAGTCCTGCCTTGACCACAAGAATGTAACTTCTAGCATTCTTTCTTTTTACTTTTTTTTTTTTTTTTGAGTCCCTTCTAGCAGTGCCTTGTCCGTAGCAGTTCCTGAGAGAGTGTGTGTAGGTAGTGATGGTGAGGAGGAGGGGAAAAGCTGAAGGTGACTTACCAGCACAGCACTGTGCTAGATCCCGCAGCTGAGGTAGATAAACTTGGCTCCTTTGCCTTTCTCTTATAACTTCTAGCCTTCTATCAGAGCTCCAGAACCTTTAAGAATATGTTTATGTTTAGTAATTTAAACCATTTCTCAATGTACAGTACAGTAGTGTCAACTATATGCATATTGTGCAATAGTGCTCTAGAATTTTTCTTTTTTTAAAGTTTATTTGGGGGCGCCTGGGCGGCTCAGTCAGTTAAGCGTCCAACTTCTGCTCAGATCGTGATCTCAGTCTGTGAGTTTGAGCCCCACGTCTGGCTCTGTGCTGACAGCTCAGAGCCTGGATACTGCTTTGGAGTCTGCGTCTCCCTCTCTCTCTGCCCTTCCCCTGCTCACACTCTGTCTCTCAAAAATAAACATTAAAAATTTAAAGTTTATTTACTTTGAGAGAGACAGAGAGCACAAGTGGGGGAGTAGCAGAAAGGGGGACAGAGGATATGATGCGGATTCCACGGTGACAACAGTGAGCCCGACAAAGGGATTGAACTCACGAACCATGAGATCATGACCTGAACTGAAGTCAGAAGTTTAACTGACTGAGCCATCCGGGCACCCCAGATCTCTAGAATACTTCATCTTGCAAAACTGAAACTTCATATCCGTGAAACAACTCCCCCATTTCTCCTCCCCCAGCCTTGGCATCTACCACACTGCTTTTCTGTTTTTATGTATTTCTTGATACCTCATGTAAGTGGAATCACGCAGTATATGGCTGTTTGCAACTGATTTCACTCAGCATATATCCTCAGGATTCATCCATGTTGTAGTGTATGAAGATTTCCTTCTTTTTAGGGTTGAATAATATATATATATATATATATATATCACTTTTTCTTAAGTTTACTCATTTTTGTGAGGGAGAGAGAAAGAGAGAGGCAGAGTGGGAGTGGGGGAGAGGCAGAGAGAGAGAGAGAGAGGAAGACACAGAATCTGAAGCAGGCTGCAGGTTCCAAGCTGTCGGCACAGAGTCTGACGCGGGGCTCAAACTCACAAACTATGAGATCGTGACCTGAGCCGAAGTCTGATGCTTAACCTCCTGAGCTACCCAGGTGACCCAGTCACATTTTTTCTTTATGTGTTCATCCATCGATGGACATTAGGTTGCTTCCACCTCTTGGCTCTTGTGAATAATGATGCAATGAACATTGGTGTGCAGATATCTCTTTGAGATCTTGTTTTCAATTCTTTCAGATATATTTTTTATTATTTTTTAATTAAAAAAATTTTTATTGTTAAATTTATTGTTGAGAGAGAGAGACAGAGGGTGAGCAGGAGAGGGGCAGAGAGAGAGGGAGACATGGAATGCGAAGCAGGCTCCAGGCTCTGAGCTGTCAGCACAGAGCCTGATGCGGGGCTCGAACTCACAAACTGTAAGATCATGATCTGAGCCAAAATCGGATACTTAACCGACTGAGCCACCCAGGCACCCCTTTAATATTATTGTTAAACTTTTTAACTGGATAATTCCAAACATATACATAAGTAAATAAATTAGTATAATGAACATGCAGGCTGAATAAATTAGTCAATTAATTGTGCAAAGTAGTCCCTCCCAAAATAAAAAAACACCTGGGACTTTTCTTGAGCACGACCTTTCATAGAGAGTTTGCTATGGGTGAGGATGTTTTGGGTTATGTTTCAGACCCGGGATGATCTAGCTTCACTTCATCATCTAGGCTCTCCGACGTCAGTGTGACTTGAATGTCCATCTGCTTATAGAGATGAGGACCTGAGCTTGGGGTGCAAAGTGGTCTTTGTGCCTAAGAGTGTTGTTCTGGTTCAACAACTCTGTCAGATATACAGTTGTCCTGAAGGCAGTCAGTCTGAACAGAGATTTTGGACACTAGGTGGTAACATGTAGCAGGCTGGGAAGCTGAATTGTACAGGCAGTAATTGCTATAGGAATTCAGAGAAGAAAGAAATTAATCCAGACTGGGAAAATCAAGGAAGGCTATTCTCAAAGAAGGTGGTGGTGACTTTACTCTGTTTCCATTGACCTTGTATGTTTGATCCTTATGCCTGTTCCTAGATGGAAAAAGATTCCTGGATGAAAAGAGCTGATGATCAGTGGATACCTTGGGATGGTTGCCTACTGGAGCTGAATTACACTCTGAACTTTTAGCTGTGGGACTGTGCTAATGCAGGCCTCTAGGTGAAATACCTTGCTGGTCAGAATTGGCTGTGTGGGAGGAGAGCTGCCTCCAGTGTGCTTGTGTGAAGCATACTCAGAAGGCCAACTTTTCTTTTTTTTAAGTTTATGTATGTATGTATGTATGTAATCTCTACACCCTATGTGGGACTTGAACTCACGGTCCCGAGATTGAGAGTCACATGCTCTTCCGACTGAGCCAGCCAGGCGCCCCAGAAGGCCAACTTTTTTTGACTCTGACCCAAAATAAGGTGTTTTGTTTTGTTTTAGCTATGATATGGGCCTCATGTAGACCTTAGCTAATAAGGCAACAAGATGGGAGATGTATCTATTACCCCAAATTCCGAAGGTGAAACTAATTGATTCTCAATTTTTTTTTCCATAATCAGATACATATGACAGTTTATCCCCACCCCTCCACGTTCTAACACTTGAAGAAGCTAATGCTATCAGGATCAGGTCTGAAATTAGTAAGTAGTTAAGAAGCTAAAAGGAAATGGAGCATTTGGGGGGACACTGACAGTGTAGGGCATTGAGAGTAAACATGCCTCTTGGAGATCATCTGTACCTTACCATTAACCTTCAGGTACTTAATTCATGAAGAAATGGATGAGAAAGTATGGTGCTGCTATGACCTATGGTTTTGCTCAGATAGGGTAGGAGAGGATGAGATCCCGGTTTTCTGTAGCATTGTAATCATATTACAGAACTGTTGTCTTCCCCAGAACAGTAGGAGAATTATCATGAAGTGATGGCAGCTTCTAATACTTAATGAGTACTCCCTATGTGGCAGGCAGTAATAAGTACTACATGTACATTGTTTCATTTAAAAGCCTGCCCAGGTTTACAAAGTTTGGGAAAAGAGGATGAGTTTTGGACTCCAGGTGGTCTGACTTCAGAGCCTGGACTTTTAGCTGCTTCTCGAGATGGCTACGTCTCACTGGCCTACTTGTCTTTCCAATATTACAGTGTCACTGTTTGTCAGGAACAGAGGTTTCTTTGCTGAGTGCATAGCCACATCCCCACAGTAAGAGCCATTCCTCTTTTGAACCTTTAGAACCTACTCTCTATATCAATGGTTTTTTATTTTTATTTATTAAAAAAAATTTTAAACGCTTATTTATTGGGGGGGAGGGGCAGAGAGCAAGGGAGACATAGAATCTGAAGTAGACTCCAGGCTCTGAGCTGTCAGCACAGAGCCCAATGCGGGGCTTGACCTTACAAACTGTGAGATCATGACCTGAGCTGAAGTTGGAAGCTCAACCGACTGACCCACCCAGGTGCCCCTGTATCAATGTTTTTTTTTTTTTTTTTAAATTAGTTACCGGGGCGCCAGGGTGGCTCAGTCGGTTAAGTGTCCGACTTCGGCTCAGGTCACGATCTCGCAGTTCGTGGGTTTGAGCCCCGTGTCGGGCTCTGTGCTGACAACTAGCTCAGCCTGGAACCTGTTTCGGATTCTGTGTCTCCCTCTCTCTCTGACCCTCCCCTGCTCACACTGTCTCTCTCTTTCTCAGAGAAAAAAAAAAAAAAAAAACTTAAAAAAAATTAGTTACAATTTACTGAGCACCCACTATGTCTTAGCACCTTTGATAGAGTATGTCCGGGTGTCATGACAACAATGTAACATAAATACCTATGTGTATATGAGTGGTTTTTAATATTTGCGGGCTCAGCCCTTTGTGACAATCTGATGACAGTTTTGGATCTTTTTTCCAGAAACATTCACTTACGTACATTCACATAATATTGTATACTTCAGAGTTGGCTTCTAGGACCCATTGAAGCTTATCATCTAGCAGTCCATGGACTCTACGGTAAGAACCTGTACCCTATATAGTCTTTCCCAGTTGACTCTTCTGTGGTGTTAAGAGGATGGGCAGTGTGTGTGTGTGTGTGTGTGTGTGTGTGTGTGTGTGTCGGGGGTGGTGGTCTTACGTCCTCAATTTCTCCTTAGAGGGAAAGAAATGTTTATAAAGCTTAGGCTCCCAAAATTAACCAAGCATCTGTGACCACTCCTTTTTTTTTTTTTTTAATGTTTTATTTATTTATTTTTGAGACCGAGAGAGCGTGAGCAGGGGAGGGGCAGAGAGAGAGGGGGAGACAGAGGATCCGAAATGGGCCCCATACTGACAACAGACAGCCCGACGCAAGGCTGGAACTCACAAACCATGAGATCATGACCTGAGCCCAAGTCGGACACTTGACCGACTGAGTCCGGGCCCCAGGTGCCCCTGTAAACAGTCTCTTTCTCTCTTGCACTTAGGACTCCAAGGGCAGAATGCAGACAATCAAATGTGTGGTCGTAGGAGATGGGGCTGTAGGTAAGACTTGCCTCCTCATCAGTTACACAACAAACGCCTTTCCTGAGGAGTACATCCCCACTGTCTTTGACAACTACAGTGCCCAGACGTCTGTGGACGGCCAGATCGTCAGCCTGAACCTGTGGGACACAGCTGGCCAAGAGGAGTATGACCGACTGCGAACGCTGTCCTACCCGCAGACCAATATCTTTGTCATTTGCTTTTCTATTGGCAACCCATCGTCGTATGCCAATGTGAGGCATAAGTGGCACCCAGAGGTTTCTCATCATTGCCCCAATGTACCTGTCCTGCTGGTGGGCACCAAGAGGGACCTGCGCAATGACATCGAGACAGTGAAGAAGCTGAAGGAGCAGAGCCTAGTGCCCACAACTCCTCAGCAAGGCACTTCCCTGGCTAAGCAGGTGGGGGCCGTGAAGTATCTGGAATGTTCCGCCCTGCTGCAGGATGGGGTACATGAGGTATTTTCAGAAGCTGTCCGTGCTGTGCTTTACCCTGCCACAAAGAAGAACACCAAGAAGTGTGTTCTCTTATAGCTTTTGCGGTGCTACTTCGGGACTCCACTTAAGGAGAACGAGGGGGGTTCCTTTGATAGCATTTAACAATGCCAGCTCAAGCCGTTTGTCTCTTTTCCTAGAAACCCCTAGGCTCCAGGTCGTGGGGCTTTTGGAGGAACAAAGACAGCGGAGTTTTTACATGGCTGCTTTGAAGTTTGGTCTGAACCTTTTGGAGGAAGTTTGGGGGGAGAGAGAGAGAGAGAGAGATTGACTTTTACCTCTAAATTTAGCTTTCCTAGCTGTATTTACCATTGAGCAAGTAAGTGCCTCACAGAAGGACAAGTTTTTACGGTTTTCAAATCATTGCCTTAAACTTTCTAATATGCTAATTTTGGAAAAGCATTTTATATGTGACTCCTGGGTGTTCCCAGTATTCGCATGTTCTTCCCATTCTTGAGGAGATATTTTTGCAAAAATGGTGAAGCAGCATTTTTGAAAGTTCTTCGAGATACTAATAGATGTTCCTTAAAAGGGTTCTGTGGTCAAATAAGTCAGGAACCAGTGATTTTTTTTTTAAGTTTTTATTTAAATGCCAGTTACCATACAGTGTCATATTAGTTTAAGTGTACAACATGGTGATGGAACACATCCGCACAACACCTGGTGCCCATCACAGTGCACCCCTTAACCCCCCCCCCCCCGTCACCTAATTAGCCCAGCCCCCACCCACCTCCCTTCTGGTAACTCGTGATTTAAATAAAGCTGAATAGGTTCCTCTAATGCAGGAATTTATAACTTTCAATAAGTAGACAACATTTCCCAAAATTGCTTCACTGAACTTTTTTTGTTTTGGTCCCGTGCAACACCTGTTAACATCTCTGGAAACACATTTTCAGAGATGCTCAGTTAATAGGAACTAGAAATTCCCACAGAGGCTGTGGGGAAAAACAAAAGGCATAACGTGGCCCTGTTCTTTTTGATGTTTCCCTCTTTTTTTAGTGTTTATTTTTTTTAATGTTTATTTTTGAGAGAGAGAGAGAGACAGAGCATGAGTAGGGGAGGGGCAGAGAGCAAGGGAGACACAGAATCTGATGAGGCTCCAGGCTCTAAGCTGTCAGCACAGAGCCTGCTGCGGGGCTCAAACTCACTAATGTGAAATCATGACCTGAGCCAAAGTCTGATGCTTAACTGACTGAGCCTTGGCTCAGTGCCAAGATGCCCCTCCATCTTTTAAAAAGTTTTATTTTGACAGGGAGAGAGAGAGAGAGAGAACACAAGTGTGTGGGGAGAGAGAGAGAGAGAGAGAGAGAGAGAGAGAGAGAGATGGATGAAGAGCTGGAACTTAAGAACCTTGACATCATGACCTGAGCCAAAATCAAGGGTTGGCTGCTTAACCTTAATTGACTGAGCCACCCATGCAGCCCATTGATGTTTCTTTCCCTTTTTATGCTTTTGAGAGGAGTGTTCATCAGCCATGGACTTGTTATTGGTTCCTCTTCCACCCTCAGAAAATGGGTTTGGCCCTTAGTCATGATAGTGCCTTGGGTATGGGGTCTCTATGGTCAGATCTGCTATCAGATTATGATAGCGCTATGGGCTTGGTGATGTGGAGTTAATCCCTCCCTAAAGCCATGTCCCTGAGGTGTCTGTGAGGCCCTGTTCTTCTGTCAGCTTCCATTTTAGGAAAAGACCACTGAAGGTTAACCCCGTAAATAAATCTAACCAGCCAACAAACAAAATGTTCTGCCAATCATTGTCAGGGAGTTCTGTGCTTCCCTGAGACTCCTCAGTGTCGTCTGAGTCCTAGAAAGGCTATCTTGCTGCTCTCTTCCTGTTCTTCCCTCTGTACATCTCCATCTGGTGCGTGCGTGCATGCGTGCGTGCGTGCGTGTGTTTTCAGTCCTGGTTGCCTTTGGAGCTCTCTTAGTTGCTCCAAGAGAGTTGGAGTATGTTAGCTCTCCAGACCCCGGGGCTGTCACGTTTGCGGGGATTTTGCTGGAGTTGCTCAGCCTGCTCTGGAGAGTAGGAGTCAGATTCCTCACCCTGATAGGCCTGCTTCTCCTTATCCTCCCTACGTATCTTTGACCTTCTTCATCTGATAAGGAAGGAAGACGTAACTTCTCCACCTGGCGGATAGTGGTTGAGACTTCCACTGTGCACATCCCCTCTCACCCTGCCACAGTAAGCATTGGTCTTTGAGAGTCTGGGAAAGGGAGTTAAAAGAATCACATCCCACCTTCTGTGGTGGGTGAAGTGCCTGTGCTCTGCTCTGTGGTGGTCTCGCTCTTGCTCTTTGATAACATATGATCAGATAAGCCCTCAGGTAAACTGAACCCCCTGCCAGATAAAAGAGAATACTGTTTCACAAATAATTTTTTAAGTTTATTTATTTATTTTGAGATAGAGACTCTGAGTGAGGGAGGAGCAGAAAGAGAGGGAGACAGAGAGAGGGAGGGAGACAGAGAGAGGGAGGGAGATAGAGAGAGTGAGAGAGAGAGAGAGAGAGAGAGAGAGAGAGAGAGAGAGAATTCCAAACAGGCTCCATGCTGTCATTGCAGAGCCCAATGTGGGGCTCAAACTCACATGAACCATGAGATCATGACCTGAGCTGAGATCAAGAGCCAGATTCCCAATCAGCTGAGCCACCCAGGTGCCCCTACTTTTTTACAAGTAATTTTTTAGCTTAAGTATGTACCATACAATATTTGGAACCTACTTAGAGTAAAGCGTGATTTGCTGTTTATCTGAAATTCAGATTTAATGAGTCATCCTGTATTTTTATTTGCTACATCTGGTACCCCTATTCTTGGATAATCTGAAACCTGGAGGTTAGGCAGATATCAGGTTATTGTTAGAAGGTAAAAGGTTACGTAAGCTCACTAGTCTAACTCCCTTTTCTTCTGGTTTTCCTTTCCCTCACCATGGGCTAAAGTGTTCTGTTTTGCTTTTCCTATATCACTGCATCCTCCACTCCACACAGGAACTCAATGGTGTATATTTCTACACCACTGATTGTCTAAAGCTGTGGATAGTATTGTCTCCTATCCCAATTTCAACGTACTGTATCTATTTCCGGCGTGTGACCCGGGACCCCAGGGTTGTAGGGGCTCCGTATGAGCAGGGTGTCACCTGGAAGAGGGTGAGGTCCATTAGAGTAGTGTGACTGTAGGAGTCAATTGGCCTGTGGCCACGTGTGCCAGCCGCTCTTGGGTAGAGTCGCTGGGTTTTCCCACAGGCAGCCAAATGGAAGCACCAATTGCTCGAGTGTATTCTAGTCTCAGGATGTTCTGATTGATGCCTGAGGTGCTCACAGGCCTTCATGGTTGAAAGGGGTTAGAAACATGGCTGTCGTCTGTGTTTCTGGAAACTTTCTGTGTAGCTGCTGAGATCTCTTGAATTGGCTTTTAATTTAATAGTGCCTCCTGCTTCCACTTTGCCTGGCAAATTCCCAGATGTAAGCCTGGGTTTGGTTTGGTCAAACCTGTGCCCTCTAACGAATGGAGATGTGATCCACAAGTCTGAAAATATGGTTTTGTATTGGACTGTTCCGATGGTCCTAAACATACACTGGCATCTTGATTTTTATACTTAAGAGGAATTTGTATCAAGACTAACATGCTAATATCACTTTTAAATTGTTCATAATGGATGGTAATAAACTTTTCTGATTTTACTGGGTCTGTTGCTTTCTAAAGATTGAAGCAATTCCTCACCCCCCACCCCCTTTGTTCTGAGTGGCTTCTAAATGCCCTTCAGCTTGCAAAGGATGAAATAACTATAATTGTCGTATTGCACTTCACACCTGTGTGTAACTCTACTTATTTTTCTACCTCAGACAACCAGGGTAGGGAACTATCTTCCCTGCTAACATTGATTCTCTAGTTCCCGCCTCACCCCTACCACCTCTTTATCTACACAATTTAGCTTCATTTCCTGCTTTTCACTAGTGACACACCGGTTAGTTCCCCGTAGGCAATGATCATACTACGTTCAGTAAACAACTATCAGACTCCTGTTGTGCCAGAGGTATTATTTATTATACTAGTGGCTAGGGTTATAAATATAAGACATACCATTTAATGTCCTTTGCCTCTTCCAGTTATCTCAGGAAAATATCCTTCTTCTGTTTGTTATAAAAATGAACTGATACTGACTGTTGATTGTACATAGTGCCGATGCACTATTAAGTGACTGGTAAGGAAGACCAAAACAAGGTTGTGTTGTGTTGTGTTTTGCTTTGCTTTGAAAACCGCTTTATTGAAGTATAATTTACATACCAAAAAATTCACCCATTTCAAGTGTACAGTTTAATGACTTTTAGTAGTTGCTGAGTCCTGCAGCTGTCCCCAAAGTCCAGTTTTAAAACATTTCCATCACCAGAGAGAGATCCCTCATGCAGTTAATTCCTGTTCCCATCCTCAGCCCTAGGCAATCAGTACTCTACTTTGTCTTTTCTGAACATTTAATGTACATGGAACCAAACAGACGTGATCAGTTTTTAAAAATTAAGATCTACACCCAGTAAGGGGCTTGAACTCCTGTCCCTGAGATCAGGAGTTGCGTGCTCTACTGACTGAGCCAGGTGCCCCCAATATGTGGTCATTTGGAACTCACTTATTTTTTATTTTTTTTAATGTTTATTAGAGAGAGAGAGCATGTGCGCGCTTGCGCTTGAGCGGGGGAGGGACAGAGGAGACAGAATCCAGAGAGAGAGAGAGAGAGAGAGAGAGAGAGAGAGCGAGCATGTGTGCACTTGCGCTTGAGCGGGGGAGGGACAGAGGAGACAGAATCCAAAGCAGGCTCCAGGCTCTGAGCCATCAAGACAGAGCCTGACGCGGGGCTCGAACCCAGGAGCAGTGAGATCATGACCTAAGCCAGAGTCAGTCACCCAACCAACAGCCACCCAGACACCCCTGGAACTTCTTTTATTTAGCATAATGTTTTCAAGGTTCAACCATTTTGCAGCACATATGGGTACGTCATTTCTTTTTATTGCTGAATCCTATTCCATTGTATGGATATACCATATTTTATCTACTCATAGTTGAGGGCAATTTGTCTTGTTTCTACCTTTGGCTATTATGCATAGTGCTGCTGTGAACCTTTGTATACAAGGGTTTGCATGGACATGTTTTCAGTTCTCTTGAATATATACCTAGGAGCGCTGGGAATTGCTGGGTAAATTTATGCAAAACCACATTTTGAGTCAAGAACAGCGTCTTTAATATTATAGTATCTGAAATCCCCTTCCCCATTCTACAAGCCTCCATCCACCTCTTGCTGAATCTGCTTTTCTTTAAGCACAAGCATTCAAGCGGTATGAATACATTTAAAAACATATTCCATGCTGCTCTTTTACCTTATTAGGATAGCAACAGTATTCTCCTAATTTTTCATTACTGAAGTGCAGCATCTCTGCTATGCAGGTTTCAGCAGATCTTTGTCTTCTGGCCTAGAAATGTAACTACAGTTCACATTCCAAGGGACGTCCATGCAATGAAGTATTAAGTGGACATAAAAGTGAATGAGGAAGAGTGCTATGAAGTGGTACACTGTGATTTCCAGGCTGAATTATGAAGTGAAAAAGCAAGGTGAAAGGTATACATAGTATGCTACCTTTTGTGTAATGAAAAAGCAGAAATAATATGTGTGCTCACCTGTTTCTTTTTGGAAAAAAGAAATGCAGGAAGTACAAATACCAAATCATTATATTGTACAGCTGACACTAATAGAATATGTCAATTATGCCTCAATAAAAAAAAATAAACAGAGGAAGAATAACCCAGAAATTAATGAATGGTTACTTAAAGGGAGTGGCTGTGAATGGCGTAGAGGGAGCAAGTCTTCAATGGAAATCACTTTTTACATAGTTACATACTTACATAGTTTTTACAGTAGCTACATAGTTATACAGTTACATAGACTTTGAACCATGTCAAAATTTACAATTTTAAAAATTTAATTATATAAAAAAGGATAATAAAAGCAAATCATAAAGTTGAATACAAACAGAAACAAATTCACAGAGAAAAAAATGATTTAGGTAAAATTTTTAGGAAAAAAATTTTTTTTAATTTTTTTTTAATGTTTTATTTATTTCTAGGAGAGAGAGAGAGACAGCGTGAGTAGGGGAGGGTCAGAGAGAGAGGGAGATACAGAATCCGAAACAGGCTCCAGGCTCTGAGCTAGCTGTCAGCACAGAGCCCGACGCGGGCTCGAACCCACTAACCGTGAGATCGTGACCTGTGCCAAAGTTGGACGCTTAACCGACTGAGCCACCCAGGCGCCCCTTTAGAAAATATATTTTTTTAATATTTTTATTTTTATTTCTAGGAGAGAGAGAGAGAGAGAGAGACAGCGTGAGCAGGGGAGGGTTAGAGAGAGAGGGAGACACAGAATCCGAAACAGTCTCCAGGCTCCGAGCTGGAAGTCAACACAGAGCCCGTCGCGGGGCTCGAACCCACGAACCGCGAGATCATGACCCAAGCGAAAGTCGGACGCTTAACCGACTAAGCCACACAGGCGCCCCTAGAAAATATTTTTAATGTTTTATTTATTTTTGAGAGAGCGAGTGCAAGCAGGGAAGGGGCAGAGAGAGACACAGAATCTGAAGCAGGCTACAGGCTCTGAGCTGTCAGCTCAAATACAGCATCAATATTGGGACAACCGTTTGTGCCTTTTTTAAAAAAAAATTTTTTTTTTTTTTACATTTACTTATTTTTGAGACACAGAGAGGGACAGAATACAAGTGGGAGAGGGACAGAGAGAGAATGAGATGCAGAATCTGAAGCAGGCTCCAGGCTGTCAGCACAGAGCCCGACATGGGGCTCGAACCCACAAACCGTGAGATCATGACCTGAGCCAAAGTCGGACGCCTAACCGACTGAGCCACCCAGGCGCCCTACCGTTTGTGCCTTCTGATGGCCAGCAAAATATTTAACCTAAATCAATTTGAAGAAACAGCCGAATTCAGAAAACAGAATATTTTCAAGACACTTTGCCTGGATTGTTTAAAAATGTAGTGCCATGCAACGCAAAGAAAAGGCTGGTGTTTTCTGGTTTAAAACTGAAGGGAAGGGCGCCTGGGTGGCTTAGTCGGTTAAGCGTCCGACTTTCGCTTGGGTCATGATCTCGCGGTTCGTGGGTTCGAGCCCCGCGTCGGGCTCTGTGCTGACTGCCAGCTCAGAGCCTGGAGCCTGTTTCAGTCTGTGACTCCCTCTCTCTCTGACCCTCCCCCTGCTCACGCTGTCTCTGTCTCTCTCTCTCTCTCTCTCCTAGAAATAAATAAAACATTAAAAAAAAAAAGACTTAAGGGAAATTACCATATGCAGTGCGGGAACCCTGAGCGGATCCTGGATTGAAGTGTAAAATGCTCCAACTAGGACGACTGTGGAAATGGAAATATGAATTGTATGTTAAGTGTTGATGTTAATTTTTAAAGATGCTATAAAGGTTTTGTAGTTATGTAGAAAAACGTCTACTTTTTGGGCCGGGGAATCTCATATTTGTAACCTACTTTCGAGTGGTTCAGAATTAAAAAAAAAAAATCCGTAAAAATGTTAACAATTATCAATCTAGGTGGGGGGGGGGTCAGCAGTTCATGTTACTCCTCTTTCATTATCACATTTTTCGAAATAAAACGGGGCTCGGGGAGGACTCCACTTCCATGGGTAAACGTCAATTCAGAACAACGTGCAAAGGTACTTCTGACACAGTGAAATTCACAGCCAGTTTTCGTGGACTTGACACGAAACTGCGAAGCGGGACACAGAAGGCTACTTCTTACCTCTACTTCCTTGTACCCTGGGGTGGGCACCCGCGCTTTACCGGGACGTGCCTCGTGACCGAGGCAGTTCCCTCTGATTGGAGGAAGAGCCATAGACACAAGGCACGGAGAATGGTCGCGTGCTGACAAGTGGAAGGGGCGGGACCCAACGGGTCCTTTGACCAACCGCTTGCCGGATATGTAACCTCCTGATCGTGTACTGTCGAATCAAAAGCCGTTAGTAAAGTTGTGAAACAAATTCTCCTTTATCGTAGGGCGGCCGGTCTTTCCGGTTCCCTCCCCGCTCCTCATTCCGCTTCCGGTAGGACCTGGTTGGGTCCAGGAACTCTCTAAGTCACTTCTGGGCGACTAATAGTTTTGTTTCCGGTCCATGGTACCCGGCTGGGATTTGCTGCTGCCCGCAGCCGCTAGTGACACCACGACCGCCATCATGTCTGACACAGACAGCGATGAAGATTCGGCGGGAGGAGGCCCATTTTCTCTAGCCGGTTTCCTTTTTGGCAATATCAATGGAGCCGGGCAGCTGGAGGGGGAAAGCGTCTTGGATGATGTGAGGGCCTGGGCGTGGGGCTAGGGTTGGGAGTGGTGCAGTTAAGGAGAGCAGGTAGACGGGGGACAGTAGAGGGTGCTTAGAGTCTGTGAGGCGGCGCAGTTAACGCAAGAGCCGGTACTGTCATACTAGAGTTTGCATAGAGTGAGGAGGCTCGGTTCTGGGGGAGGGCAGCCCTCCTAGGTCAGGGGCGCTGGCTGATGTGGGTAACTTTGGGGATTACATTCATCCTAACAAGGCAGCAGAAAAAGTAGCATGACCAGCGACATTATTTTTAAACCGTTGCTTTGAGAACCTTGGAAATTTTTGAAACTCATTTCTGACATCATTCACCTAACATGGTTCTAGAACCAGGGAATTGGACCGAACCTGCAACAAATCATGTAGTTCAAGCCTCAGTTTTTAGAACAGTGAATGTTCAGACTATTTGGGGCAGACCTCTTCTGGCACAGGGCACGTTTAGGTAGTTTGCCGTGCTCACTCACATTCATGGGATTGTTTCCTGTGCCGAAATGACCTTTCCCTACTTTGATTTCGGTTCATTTTCTCAAAGGGAAAATACTGATCGCTATTCTTCTGCCACACACTCAGACACACAACAGGTAGTAAAAAAAAAAAAAAAAAAAAAAGTTGTCTTCCCTTCTCTAATCCAGTGATTTGCCCTAACCTTGAATCAGAGAACTACTTTTCCATTTGTTGAGTCTTGATGATGGTTCTTAGATTAGTTTTTTTCTTATATTAATAAGTAGGGTGATGAAATTGGACAGAATATGTTCATAAAGGTCTGATCAGTGTGGAGTTTAGTGGAAGGTATACTTTACAGTTCCTGAATGTGAGCCCACCTTTAGCATGCTGCAGTTATATTTAATATGGATTTATAGCTTTGTCCTGGACTGGGGACCACAATAAGCTTTGTGTGGGAAGCTTAGGTTTAGTTGTTATCTTCGACTCTGGTGCTGTCCCTTTTTCAGGAATGTAAGAAGCACTTGGCAGGTTTGGGGGCTTTGGGTCTTGGCAGCCTGATCACTGAACTCACGGCAAATGAAGAATTGACTGGGACTGATGGTGTCCTGGTAAATGATGAAGGTGAGTGCGGGTCATGGGGAGTAAGGTGGGGGAGGAGGCTAGCCACTTACTGTCTATGCACTATTCAATGGGAATTACCTAAGTGACTGAGAGTTACTTGCTCTTTGTTGAGGTACATCTGTTCACCCCCCCCCCTTTTACTTATAGGATGGATCAGGAGTACAGAAGATGCTGTGGACTATTCCGACATCAATGAGGTAGCAGAAGACGAAAGCCGAAGATATCAGCAGACAATGGGGAGCTTGCAGCCTCTTTGCCACTCAGGTGATTTCTTTAGTGTCATCAGTAGAGCATCACAGGTCGTTTTCTTGCTGTGTAGTTCCTTTTGTTTCTGTGTATGCTTTCTGCCATTGTTCCTATTCTCCATCCTTTGCTTCTTTTTGTCAGCTCAATTCCACATAGCTTCTGTCCTTTTGTGTTCTGGGACAGTGTTTTATTCCTCATTCTGGTTAGTCCCAAATTCTTGGTGAATGCCAAGTAAGGATGATAATGCTTTCCTTATCGTCTGGTATTTAAGTACCTACAGGGTTCATGACACTGTTTTGGATGCTATTTTAAGAAAATTGCTTTTTCATTTTATTTATTTTAGAGAGAGAATACCAAGCAGGCTGCATGCTTGGCACAGAGCCCCACGTGTGGTCTGATCCCATGACCTTGGGATCATGACCTGAACTGAAATCAAGAGTCCTGCACTCAACCGACTGAGCCACCCAGGCTCCTCTGTTTTCAGATGCTATGTAAAATCAGTTTTTGCCCTCAGGGACTTGGCAGTTCAAGGAAGATTAATGTATACTATGTCCTGTATAAATGAACACATGTATTTATTGGCTCAACTTCTGTTAATCACTCACCGCCTGTATGCTGACAGAGTGTCAGCAGAATGCGTAGAGGGGTTAGGTCAGGGCCAGAGGTACAGATTTGGGTTTAATCTGGACAAGGGTGATTCTGGAGTAAGGGAATAGAGCTTGCATAGAGGAATAAAAGCAGTTTCACCATCAGGTACTGAGTGATGCCAGTGGCTAAAGGGCAATGAAAAAAAAAAAAAAACTGTAGAAGGTAGCCAAAAAAAATGTGTCAGAGACTTGGGAAGTGAGAAGAGAAAAAGTCCAGCCTTAAAGGAAACTGACAGAGAAGGAAGAAGGGTAAATTCGATTATGAGACGGAGCAGGATGAAAATAAAACTCAAATAGGGTTTGGTCAGGAGAAGGAACACAGGTTTTTAAACCGTTCTTGGGAGCTCCCTCGATTCCTGTGTGAGGTGTACATAGTATTAGAGCCCATGGGGATAGCGTGTCATCATCTCTTTCTGAAGGCAGAGGCCGCATCTCCTGTGTGTTCTTAAAGGGCCTGTATAGTGTTTCACGTGGCGCTTTACATTCTTGTGTGACAGAGGAGCTCAGGGCTGTTGTGTGACATTCTGGATGTTGAGGAAATCACCTTTTGGGTTTTATTAGATTATGATGAAGATGACTATGATGCTGACTGTGAAGACATTGATTGCAAGTTGATGCCTCCTCCACCTCCGCCTCCAGGACCAATGAAGAAGGATAAAGATCAGGACGCTATTACCGGTGGTAAGTAGAGACTCTTCTTTTGTCCAAAGAGCTAGTTGCATTCATAGGTTGAGGCTTTTGGCATACCCGTAAGGAGCTGTTGTTAAAATGCAGCTGCTAGGAAAAGATACAACTTCTGGAAGTGAGTCCTACAATTTCAGTGGTAAAGTGAAGTGTTAACTTTTCAAATGTTTGCCAATAGCATTTTCATAGGCACTTGAGAAAAAGTCATTTAGGTCAGTGGTTCTCAAAATCTGGCTGCCCATCACAGTCATCCTAAGCCTTTAAAGAAATATACATTTCTGACTCTCATCCTGGAGAGTCTGATTCAAAGATCCAGGATAGAGCCCAGGAATTTCCGAGTGTTCTCCAAGTAATTTCTGATGCAACTGATATGTATACTGGTATTTGGAAACGACCCGTTTAGATGACTCTCTTTAAAAGAAATGATTAAATGGGGAAGGCACACTAGACTGTGTGTTTATAATCATCTAGAGCCAACTACCGGATTCAGAGATTTCAATGGCAAGGGCTTCAGTGATCATCTCACCTTTTCTGTGTCTGCCACAGTAGTAACCCTGTCCTAGGCTAGGCGATTGGGGGAGAGCAGTGTCTTTGATCTCCGGTGTTTTGGGGATTATGTTAACCTAAATTCCTCCTACTAGAGTTTTAGCCATTTCGTTTTTAGTCTGCAGGCTAAGTTACATCTGTTACCTTTATGTCAAAGATCTGATTTCATGCTACATAATTTCATTATTCTGTGAGCTTAAAAAAATTCTTCAGTTTGTGGGTCCCCGACCTGGAAATGACAAGGCCTGATTGGTATAAAAGTGTTACTTAATTTTGCTGTTGGTTACATTCCTTTAACCTAACATATGTATAGAAAGTAGTGAACGTAGTAATAGTGTTTGTTTTCTCTCATCACAACCCTAGGGTACCAGGTACAAGGTGAGTTGGGGATGGTGGGAGATAATGAGTGGAGTGAGTTTTCTGGGTTGCATACTAGTAATTTGGGTGCTTGGAACTCTACCCCCTGCCACTGAGCCACGCATAGAGCCTAGACTGGGTACTGGCTGACTCGAAGGAGATATGCTCACAGTTACATGCCAAAGGGGTTTTTCTTCCTCGTTGCAGTGTCTGAGGATGGAGAAGGCATCATCTTGCCCTCCATCATTGCCCCTTCCTCTTTGGCCTCAGAGAAAGTGGACTTCAGTAGTTCCTCTGACTCAGAATCTGAGATGGGACCTCAGGAAGCAACACAGGCAGAATGTGAGGATGGAAAGCTGACCCTACCATTGGCCGGGATTATGCAGCATGATGCCACCAAGCTGTTGCCGAGTGTCACAGAACTTTTCCCGGAATTTCGGCCTGGGAAGGTACTTTCTGTGGAGAATGCCCACGTTGCAGACCACTGACCTCTTCTAAATACTGAGTCCTGTTGTTAACATGTAGAATATCGAATGGATGAGATTTAAGTTTCCATATTCAGTGACATTGTAGTAGGTCTTTTTAAAAACGTGATATCCGTAAAAAAAATAAAATAAAATAAAAACGTGATATGCGTTCGTGACAGTAGTGATTTATATCGTTCTCGTTAGAAATTGTCCTTGTCGTCTTAAAAGAACTAGTCCAGATTATTAAGGGATACTACTTTGCTTTCTTGGCAGATGTTATAAATCTGAGTTCAGAGCTCCTTGGTCCCTCCCCACAGCCGAGTAGACCCTTCAGGGGAGTTTGCAGACCCAGACGCTGCTGTTCTCCTATGGGATATCGAGTCTTTGACATAGTAGCATGTTCTGCATTCTAGGTGTTACGCTTCCTGCGTCTTTTTGGACCAGGGAAGAATGTCCCATCTGTTTGGCGGAGCGCTCGGAGAAAGAGAAAGAAAAAGCACCGTGAGCTGGTACAGGAAGAGCAGACCCAGGAGGTGGAGTGCTCGGTAGAGGCAGAAGTCAGCCAGAAGTCTTTGTGGAACTATGACTACGCTCCACCACCTCCTCCAGAGCAGTGTCTCTCTGACGACGAAGTAGGCAAAATAGAGTCGTGGGGTTGAGATCTACGAGAGGAGCAGTGGGTTCTCCCTAGCTGTGTCTAAATTGGAAGTAGCACCTCAGCAGAGTCCTTTGCCGGTTATGAGCGAGTGATCCTGAGTTTAGTCTTAGTGGCTGTCCCTTCCCTGTTATTAGAGAATCGTACTGAGGGCAGGCAGTTGGTGGTACACACACTGGTGGAGAGGAAAGTTTGAATGATAGGCCGAGCGTGCCATGATACAGCTCCATTGTTCACGTTCTAACACCAGTCCTGGCGAAAGATCGTCCTCATGGCTGCTCTAACTTCCCCTCCTGACTGTGGACTCCCTATAGCCTTAGGACATCTGGGATCAGGAAATCTGCCTCCCTTCCTACTCTGTTCTGTTACAGATTACGATGATGGCTCCTGTTGAGTCCAAGTTTTCCCAGTCAACCGGAGATATAGATAAAGTGATGGATACCAAACCGAGAGTGGCTGAGTGGCGTTATGGGCCTGCTCGACTGTGGTATGATATGCTGGGTGTCCCTGAAGATGGCAGTGGGTTTGATTATGGCTTCAAACTGAGAAGGATGGACCATGAACCTGTGATAAAATGTAGAATCATTGAGGTAAGTGACACTGGTACCTGAGAAAGGAATCTGTGCCCAGGGCCCTGTCAGCATTACTTAACTTTGCTTTTTGGTTGGGGAGATGCTGGGGAGGGTGCCTTTGGTGGGGGATGGAGGGGTGTGAGCCCTTTGCGTGTTACGGCATATCACCCTGGCTGCTAGGCCCAGTGGCGGAGATTCTGTTTGTGAAGTGAGTGCGGTGCCAGGCTAGGAGGAGGAAGAGGCAGATGTCGCTCCACCATCGGGTCTTCTCGCCTAAGTGCTACCTTCGATGTCTCCGGGGGATTTGGAGTGAGAACTTTGACCAGCGACTGTTCAGAAATTTGTTGTTCCTTCCCTGTTTCTGCAGGACTTCAGGAAACTTGAGGAGAACAGTGGCACTGACCTTCTGGCTGATGAAAACTTCCTGATGGTGACGCAGCTGCATTGGGAGGATGATATCATCTGGGATGGGGAGGATGTCAAACACAAAGGGACAAAACCTCAGCGTGCAAGCCTGGCGGGCTGGCTGCCTTCCAGCATGACCAGGAATGCCATGGCCTACAACGTCCAGCAAGGTGTGTTTCTGTGCCAGCTGGGTCTGGCACGCTGCCCTTCACCTTGGCCGTCCTGAGGGGGCCTGGCTGTGCTCTGTTCTGCTGCCGAGGGACGGGTGGAATGCTTGCGATCTGAGCCCTGATTCTAGTCTGTAATAAATCTTTACACTGTTAACAAGCTGGGGTGGGCTCCGATTGCTTATGGAAAAAATGTGACAACCACTTTGAAGTTACAGATCTTTCTGAGCTAGAACAGTGCTTCATCTCTGTAATCTGCTTTTGTTTTCAAAGCCATCCCCTCTGTCTTTGTCTTAATCATTCTGGAATTTGCTTTTTCTTTTCTTAAATATGCCCCAAAAGGTATTCCATGCTTAACGTAGAAAACTTTGAAAGTAGAATACAGTATCAAGAATCACTGATAAATTCTACTGTCCAGGGATGGTCAGCTATTAACTTTTTGGTGTACTTCGTTTTTGGTTTTTTTTTGTCTTCTGTGTGTGTATGTAGTTGAGCTCATGTCTTTCTTTTTTAAAAAATGTTTATTTATTTATTTATTTTTATTTATTTCTAGGAGAGAGAGAGAGACAGCGTGAGCAGGGGAGGGTCAGAGAGAGAGAGGGAGTCACAGACTGAAACAGGCTCCAGGCTCTGAGCTGGCAGTCAGCACAGAGCCCAATGTGGGACTCGAACCCACGAACCGCGAGATCATGACCTAAGCGAAAGTCGGACGCTTAACCGACTAAGCCACCCAGGCGCCCCAGAAAAAATGTTTATTTTTGAGAGAGCATCAGCGGGGACAGAGAGAGGGAGACAGAGGATCTGAAGTGGCCTCTGTACAGACAGCAGAGAGCCCAACACGGCTCAAACTCACGAATGTGAGATCGTGGCCTGAGCCGAGCCATAGTCAGACACTTAGCCGACTAGCCACCCAGGTGCCCCAGTTGAGCTCATTTCTATAGACGGTGTTGTGCACTGTGCTTTTCGGTTGACAAATATCCTATGTCATTCAAAGTTCTTCATAAAAATGTCTAATAACATGGGAAATTCAAGTGAGAAAACATGAAGTGGAAGGTGCCTGGTTGGCTCAGTCACCTGAGAGCATGACCTTTTTTTTTTTAATGTTTATTCATTTTTGAGAGAAGGGCAGAAAGAGAGGACAGAGGATCTCTGAAGTGGGCTTTGCGCCGACAGCAGCGAGCCTGATGCAGGACTTGAACTCATGAACCGTGAGATCATGACCTGAGCCGAAGTTGGAAGCTCAACCGACTGAGCCACCCAGGCGCCCCTAAACTTTGATTCTTCTAAAAAATATTGGAATGAACATTCTGTCTGCAACCTTTTTTAAAGTGCAAACTATACTATGTGCACTAGGTTCCTTTTCAGTAGCCACATGAATAACTTTGCTACCGTTTGCTCCTCTTTCCTTTGCTGGAATCATGATTGAAAGGGGAATAAATGTTTTGTCTATTACTTTGACTAGGTTTCGCAGCCACCTTGGATGATGACAAGCCTTGGTACTCCATCTTTCCCATTGACAGTGAGGAGCTGGTGTATGGGCGCTGGGAGGACCACATCATCTGGGATGCTCAGGCTATGCCCCGACTGTTGGAGCCTCCTGTTTTGACACTTGATCCCAATGATGAGAACCTCATTTTGGGTATGATATTGGTAGGGGCCAGTGTTCCTTCTCCATAATTGACAGCTTGCTGCTAATGTCAGGAGGCAGGGGGAAATCAGAATGGTTGGGAATGTCCAAGACTAGGAGCTTCTCGGGGTACCTGGCTGGCTCAGTCGGTTGGAGCATGTGACTCTTAATCTTAGGGTCATGAATTCAAGTCTCACGTTGGGTGTGGAGCCTACTTGAGAAAAAAAAAAAAAAGACTGGGAGCTTCTAGGTAGCAGTTTGAGAGAGCAAAGTTGTGGCTATTAGTGCCTAGTAGTTCTGTTTTGCTTAGGGCCAATTCCTAATGTAAGAACATTGGAAAGTAGGACTTTTGGGACTCTAGGAGTGTAGTTGAGTTAGAGTGCTAGAAGTGGTCTGGGATGGGATGAGAGATCTGGGTAGGGGCTGTAAAGGTATCTGTAGGAAAGGTGAGTCTTCATGCATAGCATCTCCAGAGTGACTCCTGTTTCACCCTTAGAAATTCCTGATGAAAAAGAAGAGGCCACCTCTAACTCCCCCTCCAAGGAGAATAAGAAGGAATCCTCTCTGAAGAAGAGTCGAATTCTCTTAGGGAAGACAGGGGTCATCAAGGAGGAACCACAGCAGGTCTGTGAAGGGAAAAGGGACTTGGGGTGTTTAGAAGAACAAAGAAAAGTAAGGAGAAGGGTAGCCTGACTGAGGTTTGCTTGATGTCCTGTCATCAGAACATGTCTCAGCCAGAAGTGAAAGATCCGTGGAATCTCTCCAATGATGAATATTACTACCCCAAGCAACAGGGTCTTCGTGGCACCTTTGGAGGAAATATTATCCAGGTAGAAGTAGCATTTTTTTCTGTGACCATTGGGAACCGCTGCCTCGTTTTGATGGAGAATATGGGTAAATCTTGTGTAGGCTGGAGTTAGTACTTAATGTGAACTGTGCATTTCCTGCCTTAGCACTCAATTCCTGCTGTGGAATTACGACAGCCCTTCTTTCCTACCCACATGGGGCCCATCAAACTTCGGCAGTTCCATCGCCCACCTCTGAAGAAATACTCCTTTGGGGCGTTATCTCAGCCAGGTCCCCACTCAGTCCAGCCCTTGCTAAAGCACATCAAAAAGAAGGCTAAGGTATGATTGAACCCTGGTTAGAAAGAAATTGCTCTAAAAGACAGAGTACAAATTGGGGGAATGGACTGGATATTAGATGGTATTCAGGAATTCCTGTTTTCTCACATGTGATAGAATGTTATTGCGCTCATTTAGAGGAATGTCCTTATTCTTAGGAGATGCACTTGAAAATTCTTCAGGGGGACGCATCATGATGACTGCGGCTTTCAAAAATGATTCAGTGAGGGGCGCCTGGGTGGCTTAGTCGGTTAAACGTCCGACTTTCGCTCAGGTCATGATCTCGCGGTTCGTGGGTTCGAGCCCCGCGTCGGGCTCTGTGCTGACTGCCAGCTCGGAGCCTGGATTCTGTTTCAGTCTGCGACACCTTCTCTCTCTCTGACCCTCCCCTGCTCACGCTGTCTCTCTCTCTCTCTCTCCTAGAAATAAATAAAAATATTTAAGAAAAAAAAAAATGATTCAGTGAAATCTATAGACGTAGTTTTAGGTAAAACAAATAAGGTAAAATGTAAAGTTGTATCTAGGTGCTGGGATACTAAGAGTTCGTAGTTTCAACTTGGCATTTGAAACTTTTGGCAGTGAGGTTGGAATAAAGGGCAAGGCAAAATCCTTTTTGGCGGCACCGTCTCATAGTGAGCAGCATCAGTTTCTAGTCACTGTCCTGTCGGAAGCTGGACTGTATTCTCTATGTTCTGGGCAGATGAGAGAACAAGAGAGACAAGCGTCTGGTGGCGGAGAGATGTTTTTTATGCGCACACCTCAGGACCTCACAGGCAAAGATGGAGATCTTATTCTTGCAGAATACAGTGAGGAAAATGGACCGTTGATGATGCAGGTTGGCATGGCAACCAAGATAAAGAACTACTACAAGCGGGTGAGTCTCTGCTCAGAAAATCTTTTGTTATCAGTATAGCTAAAATTAGTTATCCAGCAATAATTTGCAAACGTGTATTTTGTCTTTTTGATACTGTAAATGTCTTGGGGACAAAGAACTGGTATCTTTTCCGTAGTTAGTAACATAAATAAAAAGCTGTGCTCGAGTATTTTGTGTAGGCTTATTGATCATATTCTGTGGTAGTAACTGGGGCTTCTGTGTTCCTTATAGAAACCTGGAAAAGATCCTGGAGCCCCAGACTGTAAATACGGAGAAACGGTTTACTGCCACACATCTCCTTTCCTAGGCTCTCTCCATCCTGGCCAGTTACTGCAGGTAAGGAATTCTTTCCTGTGATAATTCTTTCCTAAGGACCTGGACAGGTGAGGCACTAATCAACCCCGAAAGAACCAACTCTAGTTGATTGAAGTACTGTTTATACATCAAGTGTGGAGAAGACCAGTATGATCCCAAATGCTTACAATCCCCCAATTTTCTTTTGGTCTTTTTATTAAAACTGGTTCCTAATAATGTTGTGAATTAAATTTGAAATCGTTTTTTGAAAACATAACACTGGTAAGAAGTCCAGAAACATCTGGGTGGCATAGGGGAGTCAAACTGGGATTAATGATATGCTGTAGTTACTTAATGTGTAATTTGTCTCTACATATGGTATGTTTTGATTGGTGTGAGTCATGGTCATCTTGAGTATTAAACCACACCCGACCCATGCCATTTACAGTCCCTGGCCACAGTGGAAGTATTTTTACCCACCTCTTTTGTTCTGACGGGTGCAGAGAGGCCCTCTGGTAACCTAACTTTATACATGTTTTGTTAAGGGGAAGTACAGAGGCACACAAATGATGTGAGATGTCCCACCCTTTTTTTTTTTTTTTTTGGTCCTCCACTGAATTTCTCTTGGTAGTCTTAACCATTTTTCCTCCTCTTACACCTAGTTACAGTCTTTTTCTTCATGTATTTAAAAATATTTTTCTTAATGTTTATTTATTTTTGAGAGAGAGAGTGAGAAAGAGCATGAGCAGGGAGGGACAGAGAGAGAGGGATACACAGAATCCGAAGCAGCTCCAGGCTCCAAGCTGTCAGCACAGAGCCTGATGTGGGGCTTGAACCCACAAACTGCGAGATCATGACCTGAGCTGAAGTTGGATGCTCAAGTGACTGAGCCACCCTGGCACCCCTATACCTAGTTACAGTCTATCACTACTATTGCTTATTCCCCTAAAGCGTCTGCAAAGCCCATTATTTTCTTTATCCTTGACATTCATAGTCCATTTCCCACCAGATTTTGAGTAGTATCTTTATACTCTTCCTGACATTCCTTTGTCTGTTCACTTTCTGTTGAGATTTTCTACCAATCCCTCCCTTTATTCTGTAAATACTTTTTAAAAAATGTTTTTAATGTTTTATTTATTTCTGAGAGAGAGAGAGATAGAGAGAGCAGGGGAGGGGCATAGAGAGAGGGAGACACAGAATCTGAAGCAGGCTCCAGGCTCTGAGCTGTCAGCACAGAGCCCGATGCGGGGCTCGAACCCACGAACCGTGAGATCATGACCTGAGCCAAAGTCAGACGCTTAACCGACTGAGCCACCCAGGCGCCTCTATTCTGTAAATACTTTTATAGTCTCTTGAAGATCCTTTTTTATTTTCCGTAATGCTGTTTTTCCTCCCCATTTCACACTTACAATTTTCTTTTTTTCCCCACATGTAGAATTTTTCTTTTTTTAAAAAAAATTTTTTATAGTTTTTATTTATCTTCGAGACAGAGACAGAGCATGAGCGGGGAGGGGCACAGAGAGAGAGAGAGACAGAATCTGAAACAGGCTTCAGGCTCTGAGCTTCCAGCACAGAACCCGATGCAGGGCTCGAGCCCACGAACCACGAGATCATGACCTGAGCTGAAGTCGGACACTTAACCGACTGAGCCACCCGGGTGCCCCACATGCAGAATTTTCTATACTCATCCATACATTGAAGATCTCTCTTTCTGTCCTCCTTTCTGATTTTCTGAGAAGTCTTTCCTTAGAATCACAGGCTTTTTGGGACAGTTGATCCCCGTATGGCTCTCTACTTAAAGAAGCTCAAATGTTTCTGTCCTGTGTGTTTAGTCTGTCTTTCCAGCATGCCTTCTACTTCATTAGTTTTTTGTTTTTGTCATTTTCTTATTTAGCAAATGTTTTGATCTTACCTATATACTATGTTGGGCTATACTGGGGTCCAGGATTGTGATAGAATGCTTGTTAGTTTATAAGGTGATATTCATATATAATCACAGCAGTCCTAGAAGGTATAGGCATTTTAAAGTATCTCTGTTTTGTAGACCAGGACAGTTAAGCACAGAGATACTCATACATTGAATAGCAGAGCTAGGGTCATATGAACCCTACTACTGACTTTATTTTTAATTTTTAAATTAAAAAAAATTGTTAATGTTTATTCATTTCAGAGAGAGAGAGAGCGAGAGAGAGAGAGTGTGAGCAGGGGAGGGGCAGAGAGAGCGTGGGAGACACAATCCGGAGCAGGCTCCAGGCTCTGAGCTGTCAGCATAGAGCCTGACATGGGGCTCAGACTCACGAACCATGAGATCGTGACGTGAGCTGAAGTAAGAAGCTTAACCGACTGAGCCACCCAGGCGGGGCCCCTACTACCCACTCTTAAAGATAGCCAGTGGGTAAAAAATTACTGTTCTAGTCCTGTTTGACATTCTATATTACAGTTTGTTCATTTAACTGGACAGATTTCAGACGGCATTATGGGAATGGAGAGTAAACAACTTGATTTTCCTTTCTCACTTGTTCACTGAATTTCCTAGGGCTTCTCTGTATATAATTTTCATGTTTTTACTTTTGTTAGGCCTTTGAGAACAATCTTTTTCGTGCCCCAATTTATCTTCATAAGATGCCAGAAACAGACTTCCTTATCATTCGGACCAGACAAGGTTACTATATTCGAGAATTAGTGGATATTTTTGTGGTTGGCCAGCAGTGCCCCTTGTTTGAAGTTCCTGGGCCCAACTCCAAAAGAGCTAATACACACATTCGAGACTTTCTCCAGGTAAGAATGAGAGAATAGGGACGGGGTCAGGATGCATGTAACAGGGTATGTGGATTTGGGGGCACATCAGGACAGATCAAAACCCACAGGGGCTTAGCAGGGGAAGGAGCCCTGGCCAGGACTTTGTTTCTCCTTTACTTTGCCAAATGAAAAATGTTGGTTTGTTGGGCAGGTTTTTATTTACCGCCTCTTCTGGAAGAGTAAAGATCGGCCACGGCGGATCCGAATGGAAGATATTAAAAAAGCCTTTCCTTCTCACTCAGAAAGTAGCATCCGGAAGAGGCTAAAGCTCTGCGCTGACTTCAAACGCACAGGTCATCAGCTGTGACTATTTGTTCTCTTTACTTCTTTCCAGGAAAAGAATTCAGGCCCTCAGTTAAAGGATCAGTATATAGCTACCAGAATTAGAAACTGATAGTCATCAAGGAAGTAGCAAATCTTCCAATGATGGCGGCTCTGATTAATTTTTTTTTTAATGTTTTTTATTTATTTCTAGGAGAGAGAGAGAGAGAGAGAGAGAGACAGCGTGAGCAGGGGAGGGTCAGAGAGAGAGTGTGTTTCATATTCTGAAATAGGCTCCAGGCTCTGAGCTGGCAGTCAGCACAGAGCCTGACGCGGGGCTCGAACCCACGAACCGCGAGATCATGACCTAAGCGAAAGTTGGACGCTTAACCGACTAAGCCACCCAAGCGCCCCTCTGATTAATTTTTGATTTGGCCTACCAAGAAGCTCACTGCGTGTTGGATGTCTTCCGTGAGATGGTGGGAACCTAGCAGCAGGGGTGTTCTTTGGAGGTCATGGCTAGACCTTTTGGGACATTGCGTGCTTTAGTCTTGGTTTGTTATCCTTTTAAAAAAATTTTTTTTAATGTTTACTTATTTTTGAGAGAGGGAGAGAGTGTGAGCTGGAGAGGGGCAGAGAGAGAGGGAAACACCGAATCCAAAGCAGCCTCCAGGTTCTGATCTATCAGCACAGAGCCCGACATGGGGCTTGAACTCATAAACCATGAGATCATGAGCTGAGCTGAAGTTGGATGCTTAACCGACGGAGCCACCCAGGCGCCTCTCTTTATTATCCTTCTTGCTGCCAAGGAAAGGGCCTTAGGAATTCGGAATGATCTCATTCTCTCTGCTTTTTCTAGGGATGGACTCAAACTGGTGGGTGCTGAAGTCTGATTTCCGTTTGCCAACTGAAGAAGAGATCCGAGCTATGGTGTCTCCAGAGCAATGCTGTGCTTACTACAGCATGATAGCGGCCGAGCAGCGGCTGAAGGTGAGCACCTGCCTCTCAGGCACTGCCTCTGCCCATGGACTGCTCCCAGGGAGGGGAGGATGAAGACTATTCCCATTGGCTTAGAAGCGATGGTTACTAGGTTATTAACCAGTTATTTGAAAATTCAAACTACGTGAGGAACTCGGTGTACATTGGTGCTGAGGAAAACTACAGTGTAGCTGAATATCGGTGGGAAGGCCTAATGAGAGACGTAGGGCATATTGTTGCATCCATGTAGGTGGTGACTTTAAGCTTCGTTCTTTTTTTTTTCCCCTTAAATAGTTTATTGTCCAGTTGGTTTACATATAACACCCCGTGCTCAGCCCAACAAGCACCCTCCTCCATGCCCATCACCCCCGTTCCCCTCTCTCCCACCCACAACCATGAAAGACTCTTGAATGCTGAGAACAAACTGAAGCTTCGTTCTTTACAAGACAGGCATGTAAACAGGAAAAGACTTCTCAGTTGTTTTCCATGGCCTTGCAGGTGGACCGAGGTGACGGTGTCAGACATGTGCTTTAGAGAAGGCAAGGCGTCCTTGTCCCCTAGATCTGGGGTGTGATAGCGCAGCTAGACCACTGAGTTACCGAGTCTACAGTCACGAGCATCACTATCTAGCTTCCTTTATGGGTCTTACCTATCCATATATCAACTGGCAAGTGCCCTGAAGTGTAATAGCATGGTGATAGATACATTGAAGACTTTACACAGTCTATTCTCTGTGCAAAAATGTACTTTGATATTCTGTACTTGGTACGTAGTGAAACTTGTACTCTGTCTTTTCCAATTTATTGATTGGTTTACATGCATAGATTTGTGCTCTTCCAGGATGCTGGCTATGGTGAGAAGTCCTTTTTTGCTCCAGAAGAAGAAAATGAGGAAGATTTCCAGATGAAGATTGATGATGAGGTAAGGCTTTACACTGATTTTTATTAGTACATCCCATTTGTCCTTTTCTTTCTTTTTTTTTTTTTTTTTAAGGCTTCACGCCCTGTGCAGAGCCCAACGTGGGGCTTGAACTCACGACTCTGAGATCAGGAATCCAACACTTAACTGAGTGAGCTATCCAGGCACTCCATATTTATCCTTTTTTTACAAAGCAGCTTTATTGAGATAAGATTGACATACTATAAGCAGCACATATTTAGTGTACAATTTGATGTGTTTTGATGTATGTTTATACCTGTGAATCCTCATACAAGATGATATATCTGTCACCCCAAAAGTTTCTTTGTGCCCCTTTGAAATTCCTTTCTTCTGTTTTCTCCCTTCTTGTCACCCTCCTTGTGCCCTGACAACCACAGATGCTTTCTGTCACTATAGGTCAGTTCACATTTTCTAGAATTTTATTTATTTTTTTTAATCTTTGTTTATTTTTGAGAGAGAGACAGAGCATGAGCCAGGGAGGGGTAGAGAGAGAGAGGGAGACACAGAATCTGCAGCAGGCTCTAGGCTCTGAGCTGTCAGCACAGAGCCTGATGCAGGGCTCAAACTCAGACTGCGAGATCATGACCTGAAGCTGTAGTCAGATGCTTAACTGACTGAACCATCCAGGTGCCCCATGTTTTCTAGAATTTTAGATAAATGGACTCATGCAACAAGTACTCTTTCTTTTTTTTTAGTTGTGGTAATATATACATAACATAAAATTTGCCATTTTAACCTTTAAGTGTATACAGCTCACTAATGTTCGGTTCATATAACCAATATCTGGAACTCTTCATCTTGCAAAACTGAAACTCTGTTACCCGTTAAACAACAAGTCCCCATTGTTCTCTCCCCCAACCTCTGCAACCACCACTCTACTTTCTGTCTCAATGAATTTTACTCCTCTTAAGTACTCCAGCTAAGTGGAATCCTACAGTATTTGTTTCTATGTGACTGGTTTATTTTATCTAGCATAGTATCCTCAAGGTTCATCCGTGTTGTCGCCTATATCAGAATTTCCTTCCTTTTTAAGGCTGAATAATTTTCCATTGTATGTATACACCACATTTTGTTGATCCATTCATCCATTGATGGACATTTGCGTTGTTTCTGCCTCTTAGCCATTGTGAATAGTGCTGCTATGAACGTGAGTGTGCAAATATCTCTTCAAGGTTCTATTTTCTGTTATTTTGCGTATGTACCCGGAAGTGGATTACTGGATCACATGGTAGCTCTGTTTTTAATTTTTTTTTAATTTTTAATGTTTTATTTATTTCTAGGAGAGAGAGAGAGAGAGACAGCGTGAGCAGGGGAGGGTCAGAGAGAGAGGGAGTCACAGACTGAAACAGGCTCCAGGCTCTGAGCTGGCTGTCAGCACAGAGCCTGACATGGGGCTCGAACCCACGAACCGCGAGATCACGACCTAAGCGAAAGTCGGACGCTTAACCGACTAAGCCACCCAGGCGCCCCTGTTTTTAATTTTTTGAGCAACCTCCAGACTTTTTGTTTTCAAAGCATCTGGGGCATTTTATGCTCCTACCAATGGTATATAAGAATTTCAGTTTCTCCAAACTTGCCAACACTTGTTATTTATGAATTTTTTGATAGTAGCCATGCTAATGGGTATGAGGTGGTATCTCATTGTGATTTTGATTTGTATTTCCCTAATAATTAGTTATGTTGCTTATTGGACATTTGTAGATCCTCTTTTGAGAAGTGTCTATTCATGTCTTATTTGTCCTTTTTTGAATCAGGTTTTTTTTTTGTTGTTTTAGGAGTTCTTTGTATATTCCGGATATTAATATCTCCTCAGATACATGCTGTGCAAATATTTTCTCCCATTCTGTAGGTTGCCTTTTCATTCTTTTGTATCCTAACAAAACCTTGATCATATGTATGACTTTCTTGCCCAAAGACTTCCTTTGGGTCCTCGTTTCTTTCAGAAAGTAGCTATTTATGTTATTTACAAGAAGCTACATGATTTGGGTCTTGTATGTAATTCTGACCTCCTCTCACCTCCTGTCACTGCCCATCTTGTACTCTAAGCTCCAAATATGCTAAAGCTAACCACGTATATACTCCTAACTGGTCCCGTAGGGGACCAAATGTCTTTTGTTGCCTTCTGGGATTTTACAACTGCCTTTTCCTCTGCTTAGAATATTTCCTCGCCACTCCTCTACTATCTTACCTTTGTCTGCAGTTTATATTCTTTTGGAATCTTGTCCCGACTCTTGCCCTCACTCTCACCCTTCACTCATACTGGATCATCGCTCTTCCCTTCTTAATGTACAGGTAACACTTTCTACTTTCCTGTTAATGCACCAGTGGTGCAGTATTGAATTTGGTTGCTTATTTGTCTCAGCCTCACTAATAGGAGGTCTGTGAGAAAGTAGTGCCTGGAGTGGAGTAGGTATTCAAAAAATATTTGTTAAATCAGTGAATGATAGTAAATGAGATCAGAGTGAGTGAAGAAACATTGCTGTGGTGTTCTTTTGAGGTTGGAGTGAAAAAAAGTGAGTGGATGTCTGAGAATTTCAGAAATTAAGGATTTTGTTGAATAGCCTTCAGGATTGAAACTTGAATAGAATTGTCCACTTTTTAGCTGATCATGTATATACTCTTAACTGGTCTGTGTGGACAAGCATATTCCTCTTGTCTTAATTTTTCAGGGGTCAGTAAATACTATTCAGGGTCCCAAAGGAGGACAGACATTTTTCATCAAACCGGTGGCAGAGGTAGAATGGACTTTGGTTTGATGCTGCTGGAGTTAAGGCCAGTGCTTTGTAAAGCATCTTATTATTTAATTATAGAATATGTTGGTTATGCCAGAGAAGCCATTTGAGCAGTGGAGCAACCAAATGCATCATCAGTCTAACTTCTTTGAGCATCGTTAAGGGTGGGGCTACACTGTCTTTGAGATCTCTCAGTATATCCCAAGGAATACGGGGCTGAAAGGTACCAGTGTTCCACATATTCCTCCTTCTGCTACCTGATATCTTGATTTCTATTTAAATTCCTTTTAAAAAATTTTAAGCTCATTTATTTATTTTGAGAGAGAGAACACGAGCAGGCGAGGGGCAGGGAGAAAATCCGAAGTAGACTCCACACTATCAGCACAGAGCCCAATATGGGGCTCAAACTCACAAACCATGAGATCATGACCTAAGCTGAAGTTAGATGCTCAGTTGACTGAGCCACCCAGGCGCCCCAATTTTTTTTAGTTTTTATTTTAGGGAGAGAGAGAGAGGGAGAGAGAAAGAGAATCTTAAGCAGGCTCCAGTGTAGAGTCTGACCCAGGTCCATCCCATGACCCTGGGATCATGACCTGAGCTGAAATCAAGAATCAGACACTCAACCGACTGAGCCCCCAGGCACCCCAACCTTCTAAGTATGGCTAGACATAGAGCACGCTTCCCACAGCCCTTAGAATGTCTTTCTATACCTCAGGTTCGGACTGCTCCATGGAACACCACAAGGGCTTTCATTGCTGCTATGAAGGGCAAGTGTCTCCTGGAGGTGACTGGGGTTGCAGATCCTACAGGGTGTGGTGAAGGATTCTCCTATGTTAAGATTCCAAACAAACCAACACAGCAGAAGGTGAGACTGTCTGAAATCCTAGAAGCTAAAAATCATGGGAGGAAGAAATGGAAGATAAGGAGTGGAAATGGATGACGTGGAGGACTTGGAAAACGCCTAAGTAGACAGGATGACTTAGATTCCTGCTATAAGGGGTTCCACTTATTACATTTCTTGCCTGTTGTATTTTATGTCTGAGGTAGGATGATAAGGAACCTCAGCCTGTGAAGAAGACAGTAACAGGAACAGATGCAGATCTCCGTCGCCTTTCTCTGAAAAATGCCAAGCAGCTTCTACGTAAATTTGGTGTGCCTGAGGAAGAGGTGAGTGTGGAAGAGGGAAACTTAGAGTCTCATAGGGGCTTTGTATATAGAGGGAAAAGCTGGGAGGCAAATGTAAGGAACTATGTGGATAATTTTGTGATGTGGGTTGTAGTATTCTGCATCTTGGATACTTTTTCAGAAGTTAGCTTTCTCAAAGCTTTCTGTTTAACCCACTTTGAGTGATTTAAAAAAATTTTTTTTAACTTTTTATATTTTTTATTTTTTTATATATGAGAGAGAGAGAGAAAGAGAGAGCAGGGGAGGGGCAGAGAGAGAGGGAGACACAGAATCCGAAGCAGGGTCTAGGCTCTGAGCTTTCGGCACAGAGCCTGAGCCGGGGCTCAAACTCACAAGCAGTGAGATCATGACCTGAGCCAAAGTCAGATGCTTAACTGATAGAGCCACTCAGGCGCCCCTGGGTGATATTTATGTATGTATGTATGTGTGTTTGTTTGTTTGTATGTATGTATGTATGTCTACCTCTCTAAGTGTGTGCCTTGGTTTATTCTTTCAAATATCTGATGACTTATGTATATGTGTGTGTCCATCTCTTCTGTAGATTAAAAAGTTATCCCGCTGGGAAGTGATCGACGTGGTACGCACAATGTCAACAGAACAGGCCCGCTCCGGAGAGGGGCCCATGAGTAAATTTGCCCGTGGATCAAGGTTTTCTGTGGCTGAGCATCAAGAGCGTTACAAAGAGGAATGTCAGCGCATCTTTGACCTGCAGAACAAGTGTGTTTGTTTGAGAAAGTCCAAGTTGCAAAGGGGAGAGGTCACAGACACTATTATAATGAAGAGGAGGTTACCTTATCACATGACTAGGGGGTCAGGTATCTGAGATTTCAGGGTGGTATCTGTTCATAATACTGCTCGGACACGTACTCCTTTGAGAGCGACTTGGCAAAGGTTTTGAAGTGGCAAGAGGCGCTAGGTTTGAGGTCTAGGTTCCGTGATAGCTTGCTTCTGTGGCCTATTTGGGCCTGGCAGTTATTACAGTGGTGGTGGGGGACAGTGAGTGTTTTTCTGAAGGCTTTACTTATCCACGTGGTAATGCTCAATTAAAGATGTTTCTTAGGCTTTCGCACGGAATTCTGAAAGAGTTGCTGTGCTTTTTCATATTTCAAACTTCCCTTGTTGACAGATGTCTAGGAAGACTTTGGAAAACTTTTCTGTTAAGGCCCCCATGTCTTACTGGATTTAGGGTATTCCTTTTTAAGGTTGATTTCCCACCTTCCTCTTCTTACCTGAAACCATATTTCTTCAGCTCTTTATACACTTTCATATTTCCCCTGCTCTTAACGTTGTTTTTCTCTTTTTAGAGTTTTGTCATCGACCGAAGTATTATCAACAGACACAGACAGCAGCTCAGCTGAAGACAGTGACTTCGAAGAAATGGGAAAGAACATTGAGAACATGTTGCAGAATAAGAAAACCAGCTCTCAGCTGTCACGTGAACGGGAGGAGCAGGAGCGAAAGGAACTGCAGCGGATGCTACTGGGTGAGGGTAGTGTCTTCACAGACAAGAAAGAGAAGGATCTTGAAGTAACTGACTTCAGACTAATAACTGAGGCAAAGCTGGAGGCAGAAGAAGTAGGGAATGAGTATAGCCAGGCCTATAGATGAGGTAGGGGATTACTGCCGCCTGGACTGTAGGTTTGTCTGTGGGGCACAGATGGAAGACACGCTGCTGGTCCATTCCCTGCCTCTGGCGCGTACCGGGCCTGCCCAAGCCAGGGCTAGTGGTGCTGTGTGTCACATGAGCTTTCTAGGCATTCCTCCTAGAGGGGGAGGGTTTGTCATACAGAATTCATGGATGGATTTAGGGAGTTGCTCTTGAACCCTCTGAAGTCACATGTAAAATTCTGTGTAAGTGTACCTTTTCTGAGGAGAAGACCCGTGGCTTTCAGAAGATTCTCAAAAGAGTTAAAATTAAAAGTCGACCAAAAATTGCAAAAGTTGAGGGTGGGGACGATAAAGGCCTGACCTGGTTTGGGATAAGCATACTGGGAGTGAGAAGAGGAGAAGAATCAAGGTGACCCTAAGATTTCATTCTGGGCCTGCTAGAAAGATGGTGGTCCCATTGATTAAGGTAGTAAATTTCAGAAAAAGAAGCAGGTGTGAGAAGGGAGGAAGTAACGTGTAGAGTTTGAGGTGCCCAGGACACTTCCCGGTATAGGTGTCAAGCAGGCAATTGAAAATTTGGATGTAGACACAGAGAGAGAGAGGATAAAGACTCCAGATGAAGATTTGAATGACTGTTCTCACTCCTAGTAGTGTTTCCTTTGTTTGCTCCTCTCTGTAAAAGCTTTGTGTGATTTTGTGTTCTGATTACTTTGTAAAGATGTGATAAAGCCTTTCCATCAGCGAGGTCCTGGACCAGCAGTATCTATGTCACATGGGAGCTTGTTAGAAGCACAGACTCTCAGGCCTCACCCCAAGCCCTACTGAATTTGAATCTGTTTTAATGAGATTTCTCAGGTGATTTCTGTTCATTCACATTAAATTATGAGATGCATACTCTAGGCCTTGAGACTCTGGACTTGTTTCTGTGGGGCAGTTTTGCCCCTTGGTGCTTGGGTAATTTTCTTTCTTTCTTTTTTTTTTTTTTTTAAATTTTGTTAACGTTTGTTTATTTTGGAGAGAGAGAGAGAGAGAGACAGAGTGTGAGTAGGGGAGGGGCAGAGAGAGGGCGACATAGAATCTGAAGCAGGCTCCAGGCTCTCAGCGGTCGGCACAGAGCCCGAGACGGGGCTTGAACTCCCGAACCGCAAGATCATGACCTGAGCCGAAGTCGGATGTTTAACTGACTGGGCCACCCAGGCGCGCCCTAGTGAGTGCTTTCCTTTAACGTGAATATCAGCTCCTTGCTGCGTAGACTTTCTTTTGCTATTCAGAGGACTTGGAATACAGCTACTTTTCTTCTGTCCTCTGTAACATACAGTTCTTTGAGGTCCTTTCAGAACTTCTTGTACTTAACAAAAAATAGGAACATTGACAGTGGTAAAATGAAGTCAGGAAACGACAAATCAGTGTACTGGGGGCTGGTGGTGACATTGATGCTTTCTGTAGAACCATACTTTTGTGGTGTGTTGAGCCTCGAGGTTCCCACTCCACTCCAGGAAAAGGACTGTTTGGGTGGTAGGGAGAATGTGTGGAAATCTTCTTCTGCCTTGCAGCAGCAGGTTCAGCAGCATCAGGAAACAATCACAGAGATGATGACACAGCTTCTGTGACTAGCCTTAACTCTTCTGCCACCGGGCGTTGTCTCAAGATTTATCGCACATTTCGAGATGAAGAGGGGAAGGAGTATGTTCGCTGTGAGACCGTTCGAAAGCCAGCTGTCATCGATGCCTACGTGCGCATACGGACCACAAAAGATGAGGAATTCATGTGAGTTTGACTCACCGATTTCCAGTATGATAAGGAGGACGATAAAAGGGGCGGGGAAGGAGGAGGAGGTAGGTGCTTGAGTCTTAGTGACAGGATTTTCTGTAAAGTTGACCTTGGCCTTCTGTGTTGATTGGGTGCCTTTAGATCTTTGGATTTGAACAGAGCCAAATCACAGGGAGAATTTCAGATTTGCTACAAAATAAAGGCGTGTCTCCAGTTCCACCTGGGTCCTTTGTGGTCGATTGGCAGAAATCTCAGGGATTGCTCGGGATGTCTCTTTCTGAGAGAGGTGCCTCCTGGCACGTGGAAGCCTGCCAGGCAGCCCCTTTTATTTCTGCCTGGATGGATTACTTTAGTTGCGAGATGTTTAGCTGTCAGGACAGTCTTCTTGGCTTAAGTTTGCTTATGGTCCTATTCTATGTTCCCCCTTGTCGTTTAGTCGAAAGTTTGCCCTTTTTGATGAACAGCATCGAGAAGAGATGAGAAAGGAGCGGCGGAGGATTCAAGAGCAGCTTAGGCGGCTTAAGCGGAACCAGGAAAAGGAGAAGCTTAAGGGTCCTCCTGAGAAGAAACCCAAAAAAATGAAGGAGCGTCCTGACCTAAAAGTAAATATTAATGTGGCATAATCATAGCTAACAAGGCAAAGGAAGAAAGCATGCTTTTTCCCTTAGCTTTTGGCACCCTCCCTAACTGGGAGTGAGGGCAGTATTGTGGAAAGCTAGTTTGAGCTGGTGTGGCTACCAGGCAGGTGTTACCAGTACTCATGTGACTAATCTGGTGCCATTGGGTGTGAATTTTATACTTCATCAGTTGGGAATATTTCCTAGAAGTTGAGATAGGTTTGGTTGAGATAGATTTTTTTACGTGTACATCTATCTATCTATCTATCTATCTATCTATCTACATACACATCTTTTTAAAATTGTACATACTGAAAGAAGTAACAGAAAAAAACGTATGGTACAAGTTGCTTTCCATAACTTCAGTAGGATTCCAGATATTACTCTACGACATAACTGGAATGTACACCATAAAATGAGGCAACCGCACTATAGCGCAAAGAGCCGTGGACTTGGAAACAGAAGATCCAACTCTGGGTTCTCGTCCTGCCACTTAGTTGCTCTGGGACCTTAACCTTACCATACCTGTTTTTCTCTTCTATAAAATATGATACCTGTCTCATAATGTTGTTGGAGTAAGTGCTACGATGCATGGGAAACGCTTTATACACTGTAAAAGTCTCAGTAAATGTAAACTGCTGGTAACATGGACTGAGGTCATTAAATATTTTCAAGTTCCTTTCATTTTTTTAAATTTTTAATGTTTATTTATGTGAGAGAGAGAGAGAAAGCAGGGGAGAGGCAGAGAGAGAGGAAAACAACAGAATCCGAAGCAGGCTCCAGATTCGGAACTGTAAGCAGAGAGCCCAATATGGGGCTCGAACCCATGAACTGTGAGATCGTGACCTGAACCGAAAGATGCTTAACTGACTGAGCCGTCCAGGCGCCCCTCAAGTTCCTTCCTTATATATGATATTCAATAACTATGATAGAGACCCCATTTTACAGATGAAACTGAGATCAGTTGCAAAGCTGAGATGGAGACTTGGTATTAATGAGCCTTTTCCCTGGGACTGGAAATACACTTTGGGCTTCTAAGAGACTTTCTCCTGCATATTTAACATTTTCATACTTTACAACTTAAGTTTAGGGTAGAAATCCTCTCCCTTTTCTTCCTCGTTTGATAGTTTTAAAATGTCCAGTTTCTGGATTGCATTTTATTTTTAATGTGTCGTTTCCATACATGCTCTTGTGTCCAGTGGCTTCTGGTCGAAAGGTGTAGAGCAACTCTGTTACAGCAAAAGTTCTGCACCTGCCTTTGTTTCTCTCCTGCCTTGTGTGTATTTTGTAAAGCGAATCTCGTGCAGCCTGTTTACCTCTGACATGCTGATACTTTTCCCTTTTGCAGCTGAAGTGTGGGGCTTGTGGTGCCATTGGGCACATGAGGACGAACAAATTCTGCCCCCTCTACTATCAAACAAATGCTCCGCCCTCCAACCCTGTTGCCATGACAGAGGAGCAGGAGGAAGAGCTGGAAAAGACTGTCATTCATAATGATAATGAAGAACTTATCAAGGTTGAAGGGACCAAGATTGTCCTGGGGAAACAGCTGATTGAGAGGTAAGGGATAGCACCCAGGAAGTGCCGTGGGGAGATCTGTCTGTGGTCGAAGGGGGGCAGGGGTGGGTATGATGGGTCCTCTAAGTGGAACTGAGGGCATGGGTGCTTTCATGGGTTTTCCTCAGTAATTGTTTCCAGTGATGAAAATTAGGGTCTTTTGTCATAAAGCACTCCTTAGGCTCTCCCGCTCGCCTTGGGGCATGCTGCCTAACTTCCTGAGTCTCCACTTCCTTATTTACAAAATAAAACCTCCTTGACCAGGGAAGTTGCAAAGGTAAAATGAGAGATTATAGAAGCATATAGTACAGTGCCTGGCACAGAGCACTCACTAGATTTGTAAAGTCCCTAATCTCAGTGTTCTTTTTTTTTTTTTTTAAATGTTTGTTTATTTTTCAGAGAGACAGAGTATGAGTGGGGGAGGGGCAGAGAGAGAGGGAGATGCAGAATCTGAAGCGGGTTCCAGACTCTGAGCTGTCAGCACAGAGCCCAATCTGGGGCTCGACCCCACAAACCGTGGGATCACGACTTGAGCCGAAGTCAGATGCTTAACCCACTAAGCCACCCAGGTGCCCCCCTCAATTTCAGTGTCCTGATAATGGACCACCCAGAAGGATTAAGGAGACATGAACTATGCTTATTCCTACCTGTCTCTTGCTCTCAGAGAATGTAACAGATAATCAAGTGGAGAAGTTTTTAAGTTAAGAAACATTTTCCCCCTGACTTTTTAGTTAGAAACTTGCAAATCTAAAGAAAAGTTGAAAGAATAGTAGAGTACGTATATCATTCCTCTAAAGTTACAATTAATGTTTGTCATGTTTGTTTCATTTTTATATGTCTAAAACATTTTGTTTTGCTGAACTATTTGGAAGTAAGTTGCAGGCATCTCGATGTTTCACTCATAAATTCCGCACATTGTCTAAGACAAAGGACATAACATACCATCACACCTAAGAAAATTAACATTAGGTCAGTAGTATCTAATATCTGGTTCTTATTTAAATTTCTTTGGTCGTCTCAATGTCCTTTATGGCCTGCCCTGCCCCTAGTTCAGGATCCAATCCTGGTTCAAACATTAACTATTTTGAATACTTCTTAATCTAGAACTGTTCTCTCTGCCTATTTTGGTTTGCATGCCATTGAAGTTTTTGAAGAGTCCAGGCCAGCTGTCTCATAAGATATCCCATATTCTGGATTTGTCTGATTGTTTTCTCACTGGTTACGTTTAGATTAAATGTCTTTGGCAAGTTTACTATATAGGTGATAATATGTACTTATTACGCCACATCAAGAAGCATATAATGCCAGGTTTTCTCACTGTTTTGGTCATCTTAGTGGTGATCCCCAGAACCCTCTTACAATAAAGGTATGTTTTTCCCTTTGTAATTAGCATGTGGGTGAATATCCTGTTCCCTAACAGTCTTTCTCTCAGTAGTTGTAGCATCCATTGATGATCGTTGCCTAACTCAGTGATTACATTGGGGGTTGTGAAACTGTGGTTTTTCTAATGATAGCATTCTTTCTACATTAACTGGCATTCTATAAAGAAAAGCTCTCCTTTCCTTTTCATTTATTACTATGGATTTTGAAATTCTTCCTTTTGTAAACTTAATGTAATTTAACTTATTAACACTGTTTTAATTGTGATGCCCATGTTGTCTCAAATTTGACCTCTTAAAGCCAGATCCTGTGTCCTTTTTAGAACTTCTTTGCTTTCTGACACAAGAAGTTCTACGCTGTCCTTGAAATTTCCTTGTTCAAGACCTAGAACCAGCCATTTCCTCAAAGAGCCCTGGTTCCTTTTATTGGGGAATGGTATTTAGAACCAAGATCTAGGTATTAGGTATGCTCATTGCCACTGAGATGTCCTTGCTTCTAGGCTTTTAGTGGACAGAACTAGGGAATAAACATATATTGTAAATAACATATCAAAACCTTGATGTCAAAACCTCCAATAAAATTGTGTCTACAGAGTCTTCCTCTTCTTTCCCCATTCGTATTTGTATCCTTTCTCTGGTTCCCAGCATCAAGACGTTGAATCATTTGCTCCATCTGTACATTTGTTATTGTTATGTACAAAATAGTTATTGCCTGAGAATTCTAATACCAGTACCACTAACAACAAACCTTTAAAGTAGGATCAAAGTGTTTGCTCTAGTTTGATATTCTTAGACTATATGCCAGTGAAGTTGAACGGTCAGGGTATTATATTCAAAATATATTTGAATGATTTTTTGTGTGTAATTTTTAATCAATTTGATACATAGTTATATTAATTTGTTATTGAGGTAAAATTGGTATGTAATGTGTAAGTTTCAGATGTACAATATTGTAAATCTCTGTTTATGTACATTACAAAGGGATCATTACCATAACCCTAGTTACCGCCCATCACCATGATTTGTTTTTGCTCCTATCAAGTGTGGGACTCTTTTCCGTTCTTGATTTAACTTATCAGTATCTGTAATAGTATGTTTTGAAGAACATTAGAAAAGGAAAATGTGGCATCTTGCTTCTATGCAATGGAAAGGAAGAAGGTGGTTGGGCTTTTAATGATTGAGAGAAACTCAAACTCATTTTTATTTCAAACCAGTTTTTAATTTCGTCCTTGTTTCCATTGTAAGTAAGCTCAGCTTCCTAGCCCTTGAACCCTAAGGTAGAATGTTGGAGCTGGAAGGATTTTTGAAATTCCTTTAGCCCCGTTCCCTTATCTTCCAAATTTAGGAAACTGAGGTGAAGTTGTGGCTTGCCTAGTTCTTTATTAATTTGAAGATTGTATAAGGCCTTGCCTGATCTGAGCCTTAGAATGCGGCTATCTGGCCTTTGGTTTGGCTTTTTCCTCCCCAAGGCTCATGATCAGGTACTTTGGACCTCTTCATTGTAGTTGGCTTTTTTTCTGGTGACTAGAGATATGGACTGCATGCTATGAAAGTGTTATTGATTACAGTGCAGATGAGGTTCGCAGAAAATCCCTGGTTCTCAAGTTCCCCAAACAGCAACTTCCTCCCAAGAAGAAACGGCGAGTTGGAACCACTGTTCACTGTGACTACTTAAATGTGAGTATCTGCATTGCTTCCTTCTGACTAGGTGGGATTCTCATTAATTTCTCCAGCGCTCTAACCCACGGCTCTGGCCCAGCCTTAGATTATTCTCCCTTTGGCCCTGTCCTGAAAATTATGCATACTGTTCGTTACAAGATTTCTAAGCTATAGCTAGAAAGTATTACTTGTTTGTTTTTCTTACTTAATGGAACACCCTCTCTGATTTCTCGTTTTTCCTCAGAGACCTCATAAGTCCATCCACCGGCGCAGAACAGACCCAATGGTAACCTTGTCATCCATCTTGGAGTCTATCATCAATGACATGAGAGATCTTCCAAATGTGAGTTCATTGCATTCATGTCTCCAATAGTAATGGTAAGGTCCTTTGTTGTGCCTGTGATTTCAGATAGAGGGCAGTAGAGTACAGGCTTAGGTGCCTGGAACTCCTAATTCTTTGCAATGTAGTTTTTTGGGGTTTTTTTTTTTTTTTAATAGTTTAGTAGAGGAAACAGACACCTACATGCTTCATCTAGAAAGATTCCTTTAAGAGTTGATGGCCAGGTAGGCAGGTAAGATGTGAGTCTTCAGGAATCGGCTGCGTCAAGTGTTCTTTGCTCACGGATAATGCTATCTCTTGTTGGCACAGACCTACCCTTTCCACACTCCAGTCAATGCAAAGGTTGTGAAGGACTACTACAAAATCATCACTCGACCAATGGACTTACAGACACTCCGTGAAAATGTACGTAAACGCCTCTACCCATCTCGGGAAGAGTTCAGAGAACATTTGGAGCTGATTGTGAAAAACAGTGCAACCTACAATGGTAAGAATCACCTGTTCCTTGACTGCAAAGGTCACCTTTCAGTGACGTAGTCACCTTACTAGTCCTAAAGTCAGACTAGATTGGACTGACTGAAATGGTGTACAGTGCATTTTGGGGTCATGAAAATCAGAGAGTGCACATTTAATATTACTTACTTCTTTTTAGTCCCACTTTTGAATATGTCCTCTGGAGAATTTGGAGTCTGTCTTTTGAAATGAAACAATTGCATGGAGATTAGTGGGAGGAAGAAGTGGGCCTAATTACGTGGAAGGGAGAGACAGTGTGGATGGAATCCGTGCAGAGTATGTGCCTGTGACCGTGTTTGTTGTGAGTCTTTGATTTGACCTACAGATTTGTTATAGGGGCTATTATATGTTCACTTTGCTCAAAAGCTGGAAGGGGAAGGAGAAAGAAATCTGCTTTCCAAGTTTTTTTTTTTTTAATGTTTTATTTATTTCTGAGAGAGAGAGAGACAGTGTGAGCAGGGGAGGGTCAGAGAGAGAGCGAGACACAGAATCTGAAGCAGGCTCCAGGCTCTGAGCTGTCAGCACAGAGCCCGATGTGGGGCTCAAACCCACGCACCGTGAGATCATGACCTGAGCCGAAGTTGGATGCTCAACCGACTTAGCCACCCAGGCGCCCTCTGCTTTCTGAGTCTTAAAAGAGGGGAAACAGTACAACTTCTGCCTATAAGGGAGATAAAGGTTTCTGGTCTCCAGTTGGATCCTTGAGCACAGATTCACATATCTAAGTGTGAGGGTGAAAAGTACAGCCAGAGAATGAGTCACGGCTCTGCCACTTACGAATTAAGTTACCTTAGAAAAGTTACCCTAGACAGGCTCTCACAGCCTCCTCAGTATTGTCATCTGTAAACATGGGACAATAGAAGTACCTGGATTCTGTGACCTTTCACAAACAGGCCTGACCCATTTATCTAGTCTCCTGTCCAATGCCTGGCTCCCGTACCTACTAGAGACTCCTGCCACATTTCACTAAATATCCTGTTGCCATTTCTTCATGACTCTTGCACAGTCTATGTCCTGTCTGGAATGTGCTTTCTTCCCTTTTGGTGATGAATTTCCATTCATAGTTTCTAGACCAATTCATATCATCTCTTCATGGAGACTTAACTCAGACTGCCCAAAATACCATTTTTTGATCCTCTGTGCTCCCCAGCACAATTAAATAAACTTTTATGACTCTTATTATGTCATTATAGTTATTTATATAGCAGAATCTCCCACCACTTTGTGACCTCCTGGAGAGACTATGTCTTATTCATCTTTATATTCAGGGCCTATCAGAGTGCTAGACACACACACAAGGGAAGAATACATTTGTTAGGCCCAACTGTCATTCAGGTTACAAGGATAAATACTTAAAGTCAGATTGGGGGCCCCTGGGTGGCTCAGTCGGTTGAGTGTCTGACCCTTGATTTCTGCTCGGGTCATGATTCCAGGACTGTGGGATTGAGCCCTGCGTTGGGCTCTGCATTGAGCATGGAACCTGCTTAAGATTCTTTCTCTCTGTCTCTCTCCCCACTGTCCCTCTCCCTTACTCTCTCTATCTCTTGCTAATAAAAAGGGGAAAAAAAAAAGAAAAGTAGATTGAAATAGGAATGGGAAGGTATAAGAATCGACTTTGAAAATACAGAGCTGAAGTACCTGTGGGTCATTTAGGTGGAGATGTTAGTAAAAAAAAAAATTGAAATTTTTTAATGAAAAAAAATTTAATATAATTTATTGTCAAATTGGCTTACATACAACACCTACTGCTCATCCCAGCAAGTGCCCTCCTCAATGCCCATCACCCCCTATTCCCTCTTCCCCACCCCCTTCACCCCCTTAGTTTGTTCTTTGTATTTAAGAGTCTCTTATGGTTTGCCTCCCTCCCACTCTGTAATTATTTTTCCCCTTCTTCTCCCCCTCCCCCGTGGTCTTCTGTTAAGTTTCTCAAGATCCATGTATGAGTGCAAACATATGGTATCTGTCTTTCTCTGCCTGACTTATTTCACTTAGCATAATACCCTCCAGTTCCATCCATGTTGCTGCAGATGGCATGATTTCATTCTTTCTCATTGCCAAGTGAAAAAAATTGAAATTAAAGTTATGACTTTTTCATAGCCTTATATCCCCCCCAGCTCAATCCTCTTTCTTCCTCAAACCTGTTGCTGATAGGATTAAAAAACAAAATCCATCTATATGCTGTCTACAAGAAACTCATTTTAGATGGGAAGATACCTTCAGATTAAAAGTAAGGGGATGGAGAAATATATATCATGCACAGGAAATCAAAAGAAAGCTGGAGTAGCGATACTTATATCAGACAAACTGGACTTTAAATTAAAGACAATCACAAGAGATGAAGAAGGGCACTACATAATAATTACAGGGTCCATCCATCAGGAAGAACTAACAATCATAAATGTCTACGCACCGAATATGGGAGCCCCTAAATATCTAAAACAATTAATCACAAACAGAAGCAAGCTTATAGATAAGAATGTGCTCAAACCTGTTGCTGATAATAGTAGTAGTAGCAGTACTGTCATTGGCTCCAAGTGTTTTACTTGCATTGTTTTCTTTATTTCACCGTAAGAAATCTCTGAAATGGGTACTACTATAATCCTTATTTTTATGGATAAATAGATACGATAAGCCTGTAGTGTTTAAATAACTTCACTAAGGTGGTCACACTGCTAAAAAATTGCAGAGATGTGAATCCAGATGTAACTCCGGAGCCTATGCTCTTTTTTTTTTTTTTAAGTTTGTTTATTTCCTTTTGAGAGAGATAGAGTGTGAGTGGGGGAGGGACAGAGAGAGGGGGAGAGAAAGAATCTCAAGTAGGTTCTGCGCTGTCAGCACAGAGCCCAGTGCAGGGCTCAGTCTCACAAACAGTGAGACCACGACCTGAGATGAAACCAAGAGTCAAATGCTTAACTGACTGAGCCACCCAGGCGCCCCAGAGCCTATGCTCTTAACCACTATGTTTCATATACTCTTCTCCACTTACTCACTTCCCATTCACACCTTACGGCCCTGAAGTTGAAGTACCGGTAACTTCCTAATTGCTGGTTCAAGTGGCCACATTCCAGAAATACCTGTTTACTTAAACAGCTTTACTGAGACATGATTCACATAATATACAATTCAAGCATTTATATGTTTATTTTTAAATATGTACTTATTTTTGAGAGAACATGCATATGGGGTGGGAGGAACAGAGGATCTGAAGTAGGCTCTGCGCTAAGCAGCAGAGAGCCCAATGCAGGGCTCGAACTCACAAACCTTGAGATTATGACCTGAGCAAAAGTCAGACGCTCAATCGACTGAGCCGCCCAGGAGCTCCCAATTCACACATTTAAAGGGATCAGCTTTAATATGTATGTGGTAGTATGTATCAGTACTTCATTCCTTTTTATCATCACCTAGTATTCCATTGTATAGACATACCCCATTTTAAGAATTTCTTCATCAGTTTGTAGACATCTGCATTATTTATATACTCCTTGGTTAGTACAAAAAATGCTGCTGTGAACATTTGTGTATAAGTTTTTGTGTACACATTTGTTTTCATTTCTCTTAGATATATATCTAGGGGTGGAATTGCTGGTAACGCATGGAAGCTCTATGTTTAACTTTTTGATGGAGCATTTGGATGGCTCATTCGGTTGAGCATCTGACTCTTGATTTCTGCTCAGGTCATGATCCCAGGGTCATGGGATTGAGCCCTGCGTTGGGCTCCATGCTAAGCATGGAGGCTGCTTGAGATATTCTCTCTCTCTCTCCTCCCCTCTCTCCCTCCCTCCCTCCCTCCCTTACTGCCCCTCTTCCCTGCTTGTGGGCTCTTTTTATTAAAAAAAAAAAAGTTAAAAAAAACTTGAAGCACCTGCATGGCTCAGTCAGTTAAGCGTCCGATGCTTGATTTTGGCTCAGGTCATGATCTAACGGTTCATGAGATCGAGACCCGTGCCAGGCTCTGTGCTGACAGTCCCTGTCACTCTCCTGCTCACATCCTCTCTCTCTCTCAAAATAAATAGGCTTAAAAGAAACTTTTTGAGAAACAATCAAGTTGTTTTCCAGAGCAACCACATTTTATATAATCCCATCAGCAGTATGTAAGGGTTCTGATTTCTCCACATCCTTGTCACTGCTTGTTATTGTATATCTTTTTTATTCTAGCCATCTTGGTGGATGTGAAGTGGTATCTTATTGTGGTTTTGATCCGTATCTCCCTAATGACTAATGATACTGAGCATCTTTTCCCCCCCGGTTTTACTGAGATAGAATTGACATACAGCACTGTGTACATTTAAGGTATATGGCATAATGGTTTGACTTACTGTAGTGTGAAAAGACTACCCACAGTAACTTTAGTAAGCATCTATCGTATTGTATAGATACAGTAAAAAGAAAAAAAAATTCTTCCTTGTGATGAAAACTCTTAGGACTAACTGTCAGCAGTTTTACTGTATATCATACAGCAGTGTTAACTGTAGTGTAGTCATCATGCTGTACATTGCATCCCGAGTGCTTATTTCTCTTACAATTGAAACTTTGTTGGGGGGCCTGAGTGGCTCAGTCAGTTAAGCGTCTAACTTTGACTCCGATCATGATCTCTCAGTCTGTGAGTTCAAGCCCCGCATTGGGCTCTGTGCTGTCAGCTCAGAGCCTGGAGCCTGCTCTCTCTCTGCCCCCCCCTCCTTCCCCCCCAAAAATAAATAAAAACTTCAAAAAAATAAAAACGCAGTAGGAACCTTGTACCTTTGGACCACCTTCCTCCAATGTCCCTGTCCTCTACCCCCTGCCTCTGGTAACCACAAGTCTCATTTCTTTTCCTATGAGTCTTTTTTTTTTTTTAAGATTCTGTACATATACATCTAAAGTAAGATCATACAGTTTTTGTCTTTGATATTGAGCATCTTTGCATGTGCTTAGAAAACTTCCTTGAACTTTAGTGTATTTGGAACTATTGGCCACTTGTTGTTCCTTGATACTCTCTTCTCTCTTTTCAGGAGTGTTTTCTCTAATTACTTCCCATCTTTGTCATTCCCATGACTTCAGCCACCATATATCCACTGATATCACTGTCTCCAGCCCATACCTCTCTTCTGAGCTCCATACTCATTTTCCATTTGCCTGCCAGACATGTCCATTTTTCAGTGCCCTCCTGACAACTCTTTATCTGTTTGCCTTATTTAGATTGATGATATTACCATCCTTTTAAAAAATTTATTTATTTTTAATTTGCATCCAAGTTAGCATATAGTGCAATAATGATTTCAGGAGTAGGTTCCAGTGATTCATCCCTTGTGTATAACACCCCGTGCTCATTGATGTTACCATCCTTGTTGTACAGCCTAGAAATGGTGGTCATTCTTGGTTCCACCCTGTCTTCCCCATACTCCTAGATCACTAAATCCTATACATTGTATCCTCGATAGTTTGCTGGAATACATCCCCTTCCTTTCAGTCTCTGTTGCTCCTATCTCAGTTGAAGCCCTTGTAATTTCTTGTTTGACCCCTTGCAACAACTTCCAGACTTTCCCTTTGCTGCTTGCCTCATTTCTTTAGGCTGTTTTTTGGTTTTGTTTTTGTTTTTTTTAAGTTTATTTTGAGAGAGAGAGAGAAAGAAAGCAGGTGGGTAAAGGGCAGGGAGAGAGAAGCAGAGAGAGAATCCCAAGCAGGCGCTGCACTGTCAGTGCAGAACCCGACACAGGGCTCCATCTCACAAACTGTGAGGTTATGACCTGAACCGAAATCAAGAGTCGGCCACTCAGCCGGCTGAGCCACCCAGGCACCCCAATTCTTCACACTGTTGATAAGGGTATTTTTTTTTTTCTAAAACACAAATTTGAAAAAATATTTTCCAGTCTAAAATCTTTAGTGGCTTTCTATCACCTATGAGACCTCTATAATATGGCCCCTGCTGCCTTTCCAAGTTCCATTTCCTATTTCTCCTCCACACATACCTGTATTACAGTTGTACCAAACTTCTTGTGGTTGTTGTGGACTGTGTTGCTTCATGTTTCTATTGATTTGCTTCCTTTATAACTTTGTATACTTTTTCTTCCCTCTGGAATATCTGTCTACCCTGTTGTCTACCTGATGGACCTCTACTCTTCATTAATGACAGGACTCATGTCAGTCACAGCAGGCCTTTCCTACTTCCCAGAATGAAGATTGAATTGTTGTAAAACAACTTACAACATGATTCATATGCAGCCAGTGTATTCCTCTATTTGCACCTATACTCAACTGTCTCTCTGCTTCTCTCTATATGTATGCATATACATATATACAGAAGTATACAGAAGGTATATGTAGAAGTAGAGAATAAACCTCAACACACCTATTCATCTAGTTCAACAATTACTGTCATATGGCTGATCCTTGTTTAGTCTGTATTTCCAGACATTGTGTCTTTTCATCCATAGATATTTCAAGCACTCATACTCTGTATTGGCAATATTTATTTTCATGTCATTCTCTTTGACCCAAGAACTAAGGTAGGAACTGTGCCTTATTTTCCCCTTCATTCTTATCACTGAATACATCTCAGACCGTCATTAATCATTTGTTGGATGACTAAACAAATGAATTCTAAATTAATTAGTTGAGACTAGAGTTGAAGTTTAGGTCTGTGGAGGAACACTTACATAAAAGAATAGACAGAGGAAGATCATCCAGCAAAGGATGCTGAAAGGAAGCAGTCGGAATTACTGTAGATGAAAATGTCTTAACTATCCCTATAATGAGCTTGAATCAGGGCAGCTGTAAGTGGGGAGTGGTGGAAACAGTTCCAGGATTTTCTGAAGCACTTGTTACAGATTTCAGGGAAACTAAATAGTCTCAGATGGGATGGAGGGTCTTTTATGACCAAGGCTTTGGATTAGCCATATGTCAGGAGGACATCATAAACCGTGAGTTCTGTAAACAAAAATTGAAATCACAAATTTTATACGCTGAGTATAGAAAGACTGTAAATCATGCATTGATCTCCTCAGCCATCCTTAAACAAATTATCATTCCCCACCCACTGTATCACTTTTAAGGTATTAAAGGCAACAGTATTAATAGTAGTGCTGTCGGATATATGTAAATAGGGAAGTTAAAATTAGTTTATTGGTCTGTGCTGTGTATCTGACATGTGTTAGCATTGAAAAAATGAACATAAGACTGGTACATCTCTCTAACCTAGTAGCTAGGCTGGTGCCTGGCACATATTAGGTGTTTTAAGTAAATGTGTTAAAAGTCTCGAGTGGTATTGGCAGCTCTCGCCTCCCATTTTTCATGGTCTCATCTCTTATTGTTCCTTTATACATTTAGGCCCGAAGCACTCATTGACTCAGATCTCTCAGTCCATGCTGGATCTCTGTGATGAAAAACTCAAAGAGGTAAGATATTTAAAATGAGAGAAAAGCAGTGGAATTTGAAGGTGGCCAGTAAGCAGGGTTGAGGAAGGAGGGAATGTAACAGAAGGAAGAGTAGAGAAATCTGGCAGTGGTAGGTCTGTAGTATATTAGAGAGGTAGGGACCTTAGAAATCATATAATCCCTTTTTTTGTAGGTGGAGAAACTGAGATCCATAGAAGAAAATTACTTGCCCTGGGCATCATGGTTATTACATAGTAGAGCTAGGATTGAAATCTAGAACCCACATAACTTTAGAAAGGGCCAAGGAAAGTAAATTCCCGAGAAGTCGGCTAGAGCTAAGAGACTATGTTTTGGCAGAGAGGACCTTTAATTTTTAAAAGATTATGTATATTCCATTTTTTACCACCCCCCTCAAAAAAGGGTACCTTACAAGCTTACAAAAATGGAATTATGATTGTGATGTTAATATTGACGTAGACATTTCATAAGAGGATAATCAAATGGCTGATAAACATGGAAAGATTCCTCAAGTTGATCGATCATTGGAAAAATGCAAATTTAAACCATGATTAGGTACTATTACATGCCCACCAGAAAGGCTAAACTTTGAAAAGACTGAAAAATAATTTTAAAAAAGTGACTGTAATAAAGTGTCAGTGATGGTGTGGAGCAATTGGAACAGAGTTATTCCCAGTATAGTCTGAAATGAATTTATCAGACTAGAGTCCCTTAAGTAAAAGTCACTAATCAGCAATATGTTCAGTGTTTCTAGCAACAGTTTTATAGCAAAAGCCATGTGATAGTAAAGCCTCACTTGTTCTGGGAACTAAGCTATCAATTCCCAGGGATGTATATTTTTGGTGATCTGCAAGATTAGAAGATAGAATACCTAAAGGATTGGTTGGTACATCCCTTTTGATCCACTTACTAGAATATTATTTCTCTTATCTGGACGTTCTGCCTGGAACTGAAGTTGACAGTTTAAAGTTAGACATTTTTGGGCAAGGGCGGTAGGCGACTGAACCATAAGTTACCCATAATTTTCTGTGGTGATTATACCTTAAGGAAACCTGTTTTTCATTTGCTTTGTTTCATATCAGAAAGAAGACAAATTGGCTCGTTTAGAGAAAGCTATCAACCCCTTGCTGGATGACGATGACCAAGTGGCATTTTCTTTCATTCTGGACAATATCGTCACCCAGAAAATGATGGCAGTTCCAGATGTAGGTGGTCTCTGTGCTAAATATTGTGAAGATAGTATAGGGGAAGGGAAGGGACAGGAGGGTGTGAATGTGTACATATGTTGGGGAGTCTGCAAGGTAGTGTTTATAAATTCAAACTGGCATATAATTTAAAAAACTAACCTTTCTGCTGCATGAGTGCTTGATCATTAAAATCAGAGGCCAAGAATCTGTGGCTGTAGAGAGATTTTTCTCTTCTTGTTGTTGACCTTCACATTTGAAAGCTCCCAAATAGCCCTGGAGAGAAATTAGGATGCCAGCTAACGGGAGGCTTTGAATTGAGAGGTGCTTCTTGACAAAACTGTCTTAACATGACAGTTTTTTAATTATCCACTGTTTATTGTCTTTTGTTTGTTTGTTTTTGTCTTTTGCAACTTTATGGCAGGGCTACCATGTTGACCATATGAGAATCATTTGGTAATGATTCTCCCTTAGAAGTTCTGAACTCCATTTCCTTTTGTGTTGTGGGCATATGCTATATGTGTGTTAATGCTATAAAATTTCTGGATGGGGCTAGGGAATACAAAGTTTTAACTGTGAGTATAGAGCAGGGGTTCTTACACTATCAGGGCATAGGAATCCAAGAACCCCTTAAATTATATACAGAGTTTTGTATGATTGTGTGTCTTTCTGGGAAAAGCAGTTCATAGCTTTTCTTGGAGCGTCAGGCAATATGTGTGACCCAATGAAGGTTGAGAATCTCTGGTATAAAGAATGGTTTTCATTTAATTTCTCATGCTCTGTGTTTTTAGTCTTGGCCATTTCATCACCCAGTTAATAAGAAGTTTGTTCCAGATTATTACAAAGTGATTGTCAGTCCAATGGATTTAGAGACTATACGTAAGGTGAGTGATTTGATCCAAAATGTCTTTTTGGAGTCAAGTAACTTTGTACATGTATCTGAGCCCCTGGTTCTTTTAATCACAGAATATCTCCAAGCACAAGTACCAGAGTCGGGAGAGCTTTCTAGATGATGTCAACCTTATTCTGGCCAACAGTGTTAAGTATAATGGTGGGTATTTGTCCTTTTTTAATTCCTTTCCATCGATCTATCCATCATGTTAGTTAACATTATTAAAATTTAATTGCATAAACAATTAATTAGCCTTGATCAGTGATAGCAGACTTAATCAAGTGACTTAACTCTGCCTTTTTTTTTTTTAAGTAGGCGCATATTTTAGTGTGTTTTGTAAAATCTGCTAATCACTTAATGATGAAAAAGCAAGGTACGATTTTTTTTTAAACTTTGGAAAGCACAGAAACATGAGAAGAGAATAAAAATCGAAAGGATATCACTTTGGGCTTTGAGCCATCACTGCTTTCCATGAGATAATGAAAATTCACCTATGCCCCAGGCCCTTAAATGGAGCTTAAGGAAATGTGTGACTGGAGACCATAGTGAGCTTCCTCAGAGCATGGAGTTTTGGGTCAGTACATCAACTGATAATATATGTTAATAAGCTAGTTACTTCTTATTTAAAAATTTTTTAATGTTTATTTTTGAGAGAGAGAGAGTGCACATGAGTGGGGGAGAGGCAGAGAGGGAGAGAGGGAGACACAGAATCCGAAGCAGGCTCCAGGCTCTGAGCTGTCGGCACGGAGCCCCATATGGGGCTCGAACCCACGCTCAACTGACTAAGCCACCCAGGCGTCCACTAGTCACTTACTTCTGTGCTGACTACTTAATCTGGTAGGAAAGACCTAGTCAGTCTGCTCACGTGATTCCCAGTGTGAGTGATAGAGACTGTTAAAATGCAGCTTGATGAGGGAGCTGTATTAGAAGGACTGCAAAGCGCACTAGAGGAGTAAAGGGAACCCCTTCACTAAAGGGTTAGGAACGGCTTCATAGAGAAGCTAATAAAGATTTTCGAATGACTTGTTTGGTAAGTAAACATTGATTAAGCACCTAATATGTGCTGGCACTGATAGATGCCACAGATATAAAATCAATGTTTATCTAACCCACATTGGTTAATTTAGTTGGGGACACAGAAAAGAAAATTCATAGAAGCTAACTGTTATGCCAGCTGGATGCATAGAGTGCCAAAGGGACAGGATATCTAAATCAAGAGTGTGATTAGAGGAAACTTTCTGGAAAAGAGTTTTCTTAAGCTGATTTCTTTTTTTAAGACCATTGGCTTTTTTTTTTTTTTTTTTTTTTCCTCCTGAGAGAGAGAGACAGTGTGAACGGGGAGGGTCAGAGAGAGAGGGAGGTACAGAGTCTGAAATGGGCTCCAGGCTCTGAGCTGGCAGTCAGCACAGAGCCCGACGCGGGGCTCGAACCCACAAACTGCGAGATCATGACCTGAGCCGAAGTCGGATGCTTAACCGACTGAGCCACCCAGGTGCCCCATTCTTAAGCTGATTTCTGAAGAAGGATCAATAGAGGTCGCTAGGCAAAGAATGTGGAGGAGAAAACATTCCAGGCAGAGCACAGTAGTATGTAATGACACAGGGGCCCGAAATTATGTGATGGGCTTAAGAGACAAGTTGTTGGGGTTGGAGTCACGTGTGTATGTTGGTGAATGACTGGTTTTATGTAGAAGTCTCTAGGAGTCAAATCCTAGAGAGCTTTGTGTGTGCCGTATGTCCTACTTAAGAGATTTTTTTAAAAGTTTTTTTAAATTTATTTTTGAGAGAGAGAGAGCAGGGGAGGGGCAGAGAGAGAGGGACAGAGAGAGAATACCAAGCAGGCTCCATGTTACCAGCACAGAGCCAGATGTGGGGATCAAACTCAAACTGTGAGATCATGACCTGAGCCGAAACCAAGAGTCGGACGCTTAATCGACTGAGCCACTCAGGCGCCCCTAAAGAGATTTTACTTTATCTTAAATGGAAAGACATTGAAGAATAATCAGGGAAATGATGAACTCGTGTAACTCCTTAAGCAAAATAGAAGAGGGAGCTAAGGGCATTTGAGAGAATCACCTAGCATACTGAGGTCTCAAATGAAAAATCCACATGATTGTGTGACTTCACTGCAGTAGTATTCAGCAGCCCAACTAGTGTCGCTGTATGTGTGCTAGATAGAAGGGACAGAGAATTGGTAAAGGAAGGGATAGCCAGAGAGAGGTGGAAATGGGCGTAGAGAAGAGAATGTTCAGTACTAGAGAGGAATGAGAGAACAGGGTGAGTTCAGAGAGCCATACTTTACCAGAACCTTTATATATATATCATTAAGGGAAGTGGCAGGAGGTGATCCTTCCATTTTTGTTCTATCTGGGTTGGTTTAAAAGAATCAACTTTCTCCCTTGTGCCCACTGGAAATCGGAGTGGAAATGCCCCTTGTCAGGTCAGTTTTCTTTCCATTATTGTCTTCTGAAAACACTTAAAGCTAATCAGCCAGAAATCTGGTAAGAGAAGTGTTGATAGGCTCACAGAGGCTAAAATGATTGTAACAGTGATAAGCAAGAGTGTTCTAGAAAGCCTGTGCAGCCTTGGTGATGGCTGGCTTAAGATATAAGGCAGATTTAAAAAGGAGTTTAGGGGCGCCTGGGTGGCTCAGTCGGTTAAGCATCTGACTTCAGCTCAGGTCATGATCTCACAGTTTGTGGGTTCGAGCCCCACATCAGGCTCTGTGCTGATGGCTCAGAGCCTGTTTCAGATTCTGTGTCTCCCTCTCTCTCTGCCCCTTCCCCACTCATTCTCTGTCTCTCAAAACTGAATAAATGCTAAAAAAAAAAAAATTAAAAAAAATAATAAAAAGTTTAGGTAAGGCAGTAAGAAAAACCTAGACAATGCTAAGTGAATAAAAGAACAGAGGGCAGATGGACAGATCACAGAAGACCGACATTAAATAGCTAATGAACATGAATAGATACTCATTTGCACCCAGTAATCAAAGAAATGCAAATTGAAACAAAGAGGGAGGTGCCTTTTTTCCACCTATCCGATGAACTCAGGTTTTTTAAAATGTTTGTTTAGTTACTTGTTTTGAGAGAGAGCATGTGCACGCATGAGCAGGGGAGAGGCAGAGAGACTGAGAGAGAGAATCTCAAGCAGGCTCTGCACTGTCAGCACAGAGCCTGACGTGGGGCTGGATCTCACAAACTGTGAGGTCATAACCTGAGCCGAAATTGAGAGTGGGACACTCAACCAACTCCAGCTGAGCCACCCAGACGCCGCTCAGTTTTTTTTTTTTTAATGCAAGTATTCAATGCTAGCGAGGCGGGTGCTCTCACATATTGCTGTTGGCAGTATAAGTTTGTAGACATTTCTGGAAAGCTCTTTGGCAGCATTGAGAGACTTAAAAAATAGGTAAGAGAGCAGACTTCATAATCAAGTAGGCTTGAATTTGAATATTAGTCCCATCATTTAACAGCAGTGTGACTTTGGGAAGTAACAGCCTTTGCTTTCCCATCTGTAAAATGGGAATAATAATGATATATTCCTCAGAGGGCTGTTGTGAGGGTTAAATAATGTGTGTAAGTGTTTAATGTACATGCCTGGCATACACAACATGGTATAGTAACCTGCCCTAATCAGAGAGGTAGACAAAGATATTCCTGGTCGTGTTCTTTGTATTACAGAGAAATAACCTGAATGGTTAATGTAGAGGGAGTGATTAGTTACTGTGCTGTCGGTATAATGGCATATTATATAAAGATTGAGAGATATTTTTTAAAATAATTAAAGACAAAAGTGCTCGCAATGTTAAGTGAGAAAAGCAGAGCACAAAACTTATTTCCTCTCAGTTATACTTTTTAAAAAGTGAGTATGTATAGAAAAAAACTGGAAGGAAACACATCAGTGTGTTAATAGTGGTTGTTTCTGAAATGTAGGATTAGGGTTTTCTTTGTTTTCATCTTTTTTATGTTTTCCAAGTTTTCTTTTTTTTTGATTACTTTGAAACAGTTTATTGCTATTTTGTTTTCATTTTTGTTTTGTTTTGTTTTTTTTTACAAATAGTTTATTGTCAAGTTGGTTTCCATGTAACACCCAGTGCTCATCCCCACAAGTGCCCCCCTCCATGCCCATCTCCAAGTTTTCTACTAATATGAAAAGGCAGGAAACTCTTCCTAGAGGTTTTTGAATTTTGAGGGATGATGATTACAGTAGCTAATTAAATACTCAGCACCTCCTGTGCCAAGCCAAATAGGTAGAGAAGGGTGAGGAAGAAGTCCAGGAAGAGAGCACAAACATAAAAGTAGGTGACAGTGTCTTGGATAGGGAGGTGCAAATAGTTGAGTTTGGCTAGGGTAAAGAGTAGAAGCTGCTTTTGATGGTAAGAGAGGAGTTTTTCAAGATAGATGGGGCCAAATCACAAAAGGCCTAGTGTGTCACATTAAGCCTTTAAAAAGAAAGACGGTCATAGCAGATATTTTAGCAAGATCATTCTGGAATCTCTCTAAAGAACAGATAGGAAGGGAATTAGATATAGAGACCAATAGAGAAACTGTTGACAGTAGTCCAAGTTCAAAATACTGAGGGCTTGAGCCATAAGTAGCAATAAGAATGGAAAGGTGGGGACAGATTGTAGAGATATTGTGGAAGTAGAATTGATATCTTCATATCTTCGTAAATGGTTGGAAGTTGGGGATGCTGAGTAAAGGGCAGGGAGAATTCAAGATGATGCCAAGAGCTCATATGCTCTTGGGTGGAAACATAAATGGTTACAAACTTTTTAAAGGACTGTAGGTATTCATCACCTTTGATCAGTTTCACCGCTAGGGAATACTCCACACACAAGTTTGCAAAGGCATGTGTACAAATACACATAATGTTTATAATTGCAACATCATACAGTTGACCCTTGAACAATATGGGTTTGAACTGTGCAGGTCCACTTATACCCAGATTTTTTACAGTAGAGCACTCTAAATGCACTTTCCTTATGATTTTCTTTCTTTTTTTTTTTTTTTAATTTATTCCCAAGTTAGTTAATATACAGTGTAGTCATGGTTTCAGGAGTAGAACCCCGTGATCTCTCTGTTACGTATCACACCCAGTGCAGATCCCAACAAGTGCCCTCCTTAATGCCCATCACCCATTTTCCCCACCCACATAAATCTT